GTTCTAACCCTACCTTAATCAGCTTTCTCTATATCAGATATATTGAGATACCCTGTCCTAGAAATGCCTTCATTTCTTACAGTATCTAATCCAAAGCAAGTCTCTACTTCCTTATACCCTCCCAAAAATTATCCAAACCCAGCCCAAATGCAATAATAGGTGATCTCTAAGCCCCCTTATGAAGACATTCCACAGATCCCCAAGGTGTGTGTTCTCCCTCTCAGTAAGGAGTAGTAGTAAACACAACCTGTTCAAATAAAGGTATGTTTCTGGGGTTTTGACTGAAGAGCAGTGACAGAGTAAATGATCATTATTTCTTAACCAAAGGGATCTTCTCACTCCTCCTTTTCCTTAAAAACATTATTCTTTTTTTTTAAAGATTTATTTTTAGAGAGAGAGCACATGTGTACACACATGCATGTGAGCACGGGACAGGGGGCAATGGGCAAAGGGAGAGAATATTTCAAGCAGACTCCCTGTGAGCAGGTTGTACCCCAGCCATGAGATCATGACCTGAGCCAAAACCAAGAATCTGACACTTAACCAATGGAGCAACATTATTTTTAGGGGTGCCTGGGTGACTCCGTTGGTTAAGTGGCTACTTTAAGCTCAGGTCATGATCTCAAGGTCCTGGGATCCAGCAGAGCCACTGATTAGACTTCCTACTCAGTGAGGTGTCTGCCTCTCCTTCTGCTCCACACCCCCCCCCCCACTTGTGTGCTTGCTCTCTCTCTCTCTCTCTTTCTCTTTCTAATAAATAGATAAAATCTTTTAAAAACAAACATTATTCTTAGGTAAGGTATTTGTAAATTGGAAGTGGGCAAGGGATTAGAGGAAGAATATCCCTCCTACTTTAAATTACTTAAGGACATTTAAGTAGTTTTTTTCTCCTATATAATGTGTAAAACTAATTTTTTAAAACGTAGATTTTTGTGTTACTGCTTTTTCTTTTTTAAAGAAACTGATTAAATTAGAAACATTGAACTTTTTTTAAGGAGTTGATTGTCTTAGAAAACTAATCTTTAATAATACCAAAAAACCCTGGTAATAGCTTATTTTATAACTTTTCTTTTTTTAAGGTTTTATTTATTTATTCATGAGAGACACACACACACAGAGAGAGAGAGAGAGAGAGAGAGAGGCAGAAACGTAGGCAGAGAGAGAAGTAGGCTCCATGCAGGGAGCCCGATGTGGGACTTGATCCCAGGACTGCAGGATCATACCCTGGGCCGAAGGCAGGCGCTAAACCACTGAGCCACCCAGGCGTCCCTATACTTTTTTCGACAATAAAACTCTATAGACAGTAAAACTGATAGCAATTTTTATTTATTTGGTTTTTTTTAAGTTTTTGTTAAGTAATCTCTATACCCAATATGTGGCTCAGACTCATGACCCCAAGGTCAAGAGTCCCATGCTCTTCTAACTAAGCCAGCCAGGCACCCCAAATAACAGCAATTTTTAAAAGTTAGCAGATATGCACCAGAACAATCAAGTTATTTTTCTAATAGCCCATATACATAATACATAATGTATGTTTTGAATACAGTCAAATAAAATATATAAAAGAGGAAGCTATAAAATAAATTTTTTTCCCTTTATTTTTTCTTTTTCTTCTTCTTTCTCCTTTCTTTTAATTTTTAAATGAGCTCTGTTTTCCTCAAACCTCAGGAATGACATGTAGAATAAATCTTCCTGGTAGAGCAACATTGTGCTTTCATTCCCTAGTCACTTCCAAAAAGCTGTGGAGGCTTCCTAAGATCCTTTTTCTAAGAAGGACTCCAATCCTCAGTTGAAATGGGTGACCAATAAAAGAGAATCTTAAAGATATTTCTCTGAATTTGGTCTCATAGTTTGCATGCCTTCCTACTCCTTATTTTGTGTTTTGTTAGGACTTTTGCAATAGGAGAAGAAAATTGTTAACATTCCATAGCATCATTAAATTTGGTCAGTAGGGGCACTTGAGTGGCTCAGTTGGTTTAGCATCCAACTTTTGATTTGAGCTCATCATCATGAGATCAAGCTCCAGGTTGGGATCTGTGCTTAGTGTGGAGTCTGCTTGAGATTCTCTCTACCTCTCCCCCTGCGCACACATGCATGTACTCTCTCTCTCTAAGATAGATTAGATAGATAGGTAGATGATAGATACATAGATAGATAGATAAATAGATGAATGAATGAATGAATGTTTTTTGGTCAGTAAAATTTGATCAGCAGTGCTATAAATTAGGCACTGTGCCTTATAGGCAAACTAAGATAACATATGTACCTCTCTGCCCTTACTGAGCCCACAGCAGAGAAAAAAGCCCATAGGGCAAGTGCCATTATGGAGTCCTGTCATACTTCAGAGCTACAGTTACTAGGGACTTTCAACAGATTTCAGGGGGTTCAGGTCACCTGCCAACCCCTGCCCCTGTGAAGAAGGACTCCCATGTCCTACAGCTCATACATCTACCCAATCACGAGCTAAGTGGTCAGTGGCTGTTACCTGATCTCCTTTGACCACCGCATCTCCACAGAGTACCAGCAGTCTCAGCCCTGCTCCTCTGGGCCTTGGCTGGTGCGCACACGTGTATGTGTGTTCATATATGTCCATGTCCCCACCTGAGTAATTGGGTCAGCTATTCGTTTTCATATAACTGACCCCCTACCCCTTGGGCCACCTGGTGTTTGTGTTTTAAAAGTATTCCTATTGGGGTGCCTGGGTAGTTCTGTCGGTTAAGTGTCTGCCTTTCAGCTCAGGTCAGGATCCCAGGGTCCTGGGACATTGGGCTCCCTGCTCAATGGGGAGCCTGCTTCTCCCTCTCCCTCTGCCACTCCCCCTGCTTATGTACTCTCTCTCTCTCTCAAATAAATAAAATCTTTTAAAAAATAAAAAAATAGGGCAGCCCAGGTGGCTCAAAGGTTAACGCCGCCTTTAGCCCAGGGTGTGATGCTAGAGACCCAGGATCAAGTCCCACGTTGGGCTCCCTGCATGGAGCCTGCTTCTCCCTCTGCCTGTGTTTGTGCCTCTCATGAATAAATAAATAAAATCTTTAAAAAAATAAAAAATAAAAAAAGACTTAAATTTTAGGTGAAAACCTGTTTATAGGAATATTTTTATTTTTTAATATTTTTTAAAGATTTTATTTATTCATTCATGAGAGACAGAGAGAGGGAGAGAGGCAGAGACATAGGCAGAGGGAGAAGCAGGCTCCATGCAGGGAGCCTGACGTGGGACTCGATCCCGGATCTTCAGGATCACTCCCCGGACTGAAGGTGGCGCTAAACCGCTGAGCCACCAGGGCTGCCCTAAGTCTTTTTTTTTTTTAAAGAAATTTTTTAAATCTCTACACCCAACATGGGACACAAATCTACAACCCCAAGATCAAGAATCACATGTTCTACCAACTGAGCCAGCCAAGCGCCCCATAAAATTTAAGGCTTAATCATGAATCACATAAGGAAACTTCTGAGTATACTTGGCTGTGGATAGCTGATGATTCATTACCAAAATCCCCCTGTAGTCTATTAAAAGTGGTTGTATACAAATTATAAAGCAGCACAAGAAAGATTTTTAAGGAAAAAACATCCTGTTTATGCTTGGTCAGGTGTTCTTTGAATTGATGTGAACCAAATAGCATCTGATCATTTTCTTTTTTTTTTTTTAATAATTTTTTTTATTGGTGTTCAATTTACCAACATACAGAATAACACCCAGTGTTCATGATCATTTTCTTTAACCTTTTTAAAAGACTTCCCCAGGATCTTACTCCCCCCAGATATTACTGTTTTTGGGAACAGTGAATTCTGTGAGCAAAATTACAAGTCCATTAATATCCTTTCTCTTCAATTCTCAAATCCAAAAAAATTCAGAAAATCAAAGTTTCTTTTTACAACTTAATTCTGAAAAAGCAAACCTGAACCAAAGTGACCCTATTTAAGTTACTTATCTGTCCTACAGGGACACTCCTAAAGTTTGCTGCAGAAATATTAATGTGTTTTATTACAGGGTGCTGCCCTAGATATTTCATGTATATGATATATGCATAATACTCCTTTATTAAAAAAAATGGAATTCTAAATACATCTGTCTCCAGAGATTTAAATGAGGATTATAGACAATGGATGTATAAATCACCCCCATGGCATAGTAGTTTAAGAGAGTTCTTTATTTGTAGCTATGTGAGGTAACAGATGTTAACAGCTGTGGTAATCATTTTGCAGTACATCCATATGTCAGATCATTATATCATAACACCTAAAACTAATACAGTGTTATATGTCAATTATATCTCAATAAAATGGGGAGGACACTTTAATATTGCAAGCAGTTTTTAGTTTTGATAAATTAATTCATGAGGAGAAAACACAAGCAAAAATTACCCTTTAATTTTCTGGTAACTTTCACATTGTTTCTGGATTTGGTAGTTATATAGTTGGGGGTTAAATATAGGAAGTATGATTATAAATGTGTATATATGTGTGTGTGTGTGTGTGTGTGTGTTGGATTTCTTTTGCCCACAAAATGAAGGCTAAAATAAATATAATCAGTATAACCATAGGTCATAATTCTGATCATATATATATACATATATATATGTGTATATATATATATATACAAGAAAAAGCCTCTGAATTGGGGATTATAGTGATATGCATGTATACAAAAAGTGATCAATAGCAATATCCTTGTACATTTTCGTTGGGGACCTGCCAAGAGCAATTTAATTGTGGTCTTGTTTCCTCCACGTTTTAAGGAAATGGAGTGTAAACTTACATACTGGTGATTTCAGAAGCAAGAATAAGATGATGTTTCCCACCTACTCATACCCCCTTAATACCATTCAAGTGAAATCATTTAATTCTCTACTGGGATAGAACTGACGTATTTTCTACATAATCATAAACATTTTATTTATTAAAACAAGATTTTTTTTCTGGAAAGTAATATTTTTAAGCTTAATGCAGTGATTATGTTTTTATTTGGAATCTTCCTCTCCTTTTTTCCTTGTTCTGTACAGATTATCAGCGCTTGATGACTGTGGCGGAAGGCATCACCACACTTTTGTTCCCATTTCAGTGGCAACATGTTTATGTACCCATCCTCCCTGCTTCTCTACTACATTTTCTTGATGCTCCTGTCCCTTATCTGATGGGCCTTCAGTCAAAAGAAGGAACTGACCGTTCTAAACTAGAACTTCCTCAAGAGGTAAAACTTCTAATGAGTGATGAAGCATTTGCTGTTTGTTGATTTAGGTCAAGGCCACTTTATTGTTAGACAGCGTGGTCTTTGTCCAAACTGTGTCTATGACTGTCCTGAATCTCCCAAGTAGGGTTAGGGTAGAGCCTGAGCCGTAGAATGCAGATCCTGACTTTTGATGGTTACCATGACTAGTTAATAATTAAGCATGGTTCAAACAGGATAGTGACAAATTTTCACAGCTATAAATTTGTGAAGATAAAGCAACAGCATGGTCTAATTGCTTTGTTATTCTAATAACATTTAATTATTTTTTTCCACATTCATGTTGTAAATTCTGCTTTTAAACAGTATAGCCCAGGTTTTCACATCATTAAAATCTTTAAAGTCATTGTATTAATTGAGGTGAATTTGATTCTTGACTTCCATCAAATGAAAAGTAGCATCTCTCAGCAAGCTATAGACAATGGAAATACCAAATACTTTAGTATTCTTTGTTTTCAGACCTAAAGCTAGTTACCAAGTTTTTCTAAATGTCAGCTTGACTAGGTGGTTGAGATAAGAATTCTAACCCCATCTTTAGACCACCTTAAGGTTTTTAGGCTTTCTGAATATTGTATTTTCAGATGTTGTTTAAGAAGAAGATAGGAATTCTTGGAAGCATTTTGAATCTAGTTTTTGACCATCATTAATGGTACTCAGAATTGGAATGTAAAACCTTTGAAATGAAATATTGATGAGAGTGCCATGGCCTATTAAAAAACATTAAATAGTTAACTACGTTGTATTATTAGCTATTTAATTAGCACCTTTCTTAATAAAATCTTTCATGCTGTGCTTTGCTTTTATTTGTTCTTATTTCCCATGGAGATTCTCATTTTAATAAGTGAATTTAAAATACCACACTAAGCCACAGCCATTGTACCCAGTAATGATTCCTGCAATCATCTGTTGCTCACTTTATTCCAATGAATGTTTCCCTACCAAAATTAACTTTTTTTTTCAGGGGAAAATAGCTTGATTCAGATCATACAAAATGTATATGTGAGCTTTCTTGCTCTTTTTGAGCTTATGCATGTTCTGCTTTTGCCTCCACATTATATCTCTTTTATCTGAACTCTCTTATTTTCTCTTTTATTAGATTAATCTAAGTATCTTGTTGGTTCAAAGAAGTAATCCTTTAAATTTTCAAGGAAAAAGAAATAGACTAGCCAAACATATTTTAGATGCAGTTTAAGTTTGAAGACTTTAATAGTGACATGTTTTTAGTTTCCTGTTGAGTATCTGGTCTATTTGTATATTAATTAAATTATATTTTATAAGGCAATAGGTTTAGGTGTATAAATATTCTTTCCATTTTTACATGAGTTATAATTGTTGAGAGTTTTTAAATGGCACCTAAATATTTTTGTAGTGGGGAAATCTGTCTGTCTCCATATCTGCATGTATTCTCTGGGTCTAAAGATAAACTTAAAAGTCCTGAAAGCTCTTGCAACAGTGTCTGTGATTTTCTAATTTTTTACTCATTAAGTCAACACTCTTTAATAAATATATATGCCCATCTATTCAGAGAGTAGAATAGCAGGAAATACCCTGGGTCAGCTGTGGAAATGGCAGTGCTTCTGTATAGAAAATGTATGTTAGTATACCCATATTTTAGAAGAATATGCTAATAACTGACCCACGTTATTTCCTGTTGTTACATTCTCTGAATGGATGGGCATGTACATTTATTAGAATCTTGATTTAATGAGTAAAAAATTAGAAAATCACAGATATTACTGCAAGAACTTTCAGAATTTTTAAGTTTATCTTTAGAATACCTACAGATCGGGATCCCTGGGTGGCGCAGTGGTTTGGCGCCTGCCTTTGGCCCAGGGCGCGATCCTGGAGACCCGGGATCGAATCCCACATCGGGCTCCCGGTGCATGGAGCCTGCTTCTCCCTCTGCCTGTGTCTCTACCTCTCTCTCTCTCACTGTGTGCCTATCATAAATAAAATTAAAAAAAATTAAAATTAAAAAAAAAAGAATACCTACAGATCACTTTGTGTTTATAACATTTTACGATGATATGAAAAAATCTACTTTACATAATTTTGGAGAAGTAAGTAAAAAAAAAAAAAAGGCCATTTTAAAGAGTGATTTAAATACACTCACTCGGGCAGCATGGGTGGCTCAGCGGTTTAGTGCCGCCTTCAGCCCAGTACCTGATCCTAGAGACCCGGGGTGGAGTCCCATGTCAGGCTCCCTGCAAGGAGCGTGCTTCTCCTGTGTCTCTGCCTCTCTCTCTGTGTGTCTCTCATGAATAAGTAAATAAAATCTTTTTAAAAAAAAAATAAATACACTCACTCATAATATTCACCTCCTCCTTCTTTTCCCTGAAAACTGTAAAATAAAATAATAGCTAAAAATAGTGACAGGACAAAAAAAAAGAGAGAGAGAGAGAGAGAGAGAGAAATAGTGAGGGGTTTCTTAAAATAGTTATGAAAATGATAAGTTTACAAAATGATTATTTTAGGAAGGTATGATTTTAGTTGTTAGCTAACTAATGTAACTACATAGACTTATAATTAACCACCCACTTACTTTTCCCATAGTTCTAAAATGATAGGCACAGGTAACCATTTTGTTATATTGTTTTTTGGGGGTTGGGGTGAGGAGAGTGTTGGTAGAAGGATATAGCACTGAGGAGGATGAATTGCAGAGAATGGCACCTCGCTTTCTCCCATTCTCGCTTATCTTTATAGTAAATGGTAGGCAAAAAATAAAAAAAAAAACTAAATTAGAATTACTTTTCTTTTTTATTGTATCTTGCCTGAGGTTCTATGGGAATATTTTATTTTCTATGGGAATATTTTAAATATTCTCCTCTGGTTTACCCCTATGCCAGCTTAACTTCAGCCATTGAGAAACTGTATCCTTCACTAAGTATAGAGAAAGCTGCCCTGACTTTACATTCCTGGATATTTCCTCCTCCTATGTACATTTTTGGAGTACCACAAAATGCCTATCTCCTTGAGCTTTATTCAGTCATTCACCGAACAGTTGTCTCATACACTACCAGTGTAGCCTAGATTAGGAGACCTTGAGATAAGTAAGATATAACTTTTGCTTTTCAAAATAAGTCATTTACAAATATTACAAACAGGTTAAAAAAAAGTAAGAGGAATGAATGAACTAAGCATATATGCAGAAGAAATCAGAACTCCTTTAGGGTAGGGATGTAAGATGGCTTCATGGCAGAAGAAATGATTAAACTTCAAGTCTTTGTTCCCTTTCTTTTGAAGGAATGTCTTTCATTTTTAACTAAAAGTGATAACCTACCATGAATGTGTGAGCAGCATTGGTCAGTAAAGATACAGAAATATTTAGTCCTAAAACAATGTTAAATTGAGATGTCAAGTGTATTTTTATTGTGTATATATTTCTTGAGCTCTTCTGATAGAATTTTTTAGTTTAATGGTATTAAAAGTGAAAAAAATGATCATCAGAATGCTCTATTGTATGGAGTTCTTTGTTTTAGAAAAAAAGGCTTTTTAGCTTTTCTCCAGTAACTCTTCTAACACAAGTTAATAATCCTGTTTTCATTTTGTGATAATCAAAACCCCAACTTGGGCCCATCTAAGCAATCATAGGGAAGGTATGAGAGACTTATGGAAACATGAAGATAGGCCAGTAATGTGGTGCTGGAACAGCCACCTTGCCCTATCCTTTCAATTCAGCAGTGATTGTATGAGCATAACAAGCTTTAAAATTTCCCAGATGTATCATTTTCTCTTTTCATAGAAGAAGGATAGAAAAGGATAGCAGGAAGACATTAATGAAGGAGACAGTACAAAATGTAAGAGGTGGGAGGTTGCTAGCTAACATTTAGATTAGCATGTTAGTGAATTTTTTTCTTCCATTTTTAAAGACTCTGAATCATCCATCTGAATTATAGTGACCTACTTTCTCTCCCTAAGCCTTTCAACACATCCTGCTTTCTAGAGACTATAGATACGTATATAAAGATGTGGATTTGGAGAAAGCAGTAGGCAGCAATACTGTCTTAAAGATTTGCCTTCATCTCTTATTTTATTTAGAGGAAACTACTGATATTGGAGATAAGGAAAATTGGAGGAAAAAAAATCTTTAAAGCCACCAGGCTGTTTGAGGATGCTTATCTGGAACAGGTGTCAGGATGTTGCCTAACTTCTTAGGCCTCAGTTTCTGCATCTGCAGAATTAAAGAGAGGGATTCACAGGTCATTTCAGGCTTGAGAGTAATCATTGTTGATTCTCTGTTTTTAGATGGAAGGTAATCTTGAATTTTGATTGAGCTAAATACAGAAATTTGCTGTGCTTTTTGTGCACCATCACCTGACATAGAGCAGGGATTAAGAGAAAAGTAAAAACCCAACTCTTTGCTCTCTTCTTTGCACCTTTCACCATATAGGATCAAAGGGCAGTACGAATTGTCTCCTTGCTGACCTGGGTGGAGGGCTGTAGGAGAGAGAGGGAAATTCAAAATGAAACTTTCTATTCTGTTGATTGACTTCCAGCCTATGCCCTATGTTGAGCCACTTACATAGTCAGGATCAGTTTTATGTAATGGGCTATACCTTTGGCTTCCCACCCTTCCACAGTCCATGAGCATAATATTCCTTTACACTGACAACCTCGTTCTGATTAATAAGAGAGTATGAACAATAAAAGTAAAATACTGTTACGGAGTCTACTGTAATCACATACATGAGGGATAATGAAAATTTCATGCATGCACTTGACCCCTCAAATTATCCATAATTACTTGGAAAATATTTAAAAGTCTTTTTATTCAATATAAATTCAAAATCTATAGTGTAAGCAAACTCAAAAATTTTTTTCCTCTGATCTCTATTTCCTCTTTTTTCAACTCAAAAATATCTCCTGAATCAGCTCTTAATTATTCAAGGAATAATCATTTGTAATTGTCTAAGCACTTGCCTCTACTGCTCTCTGCCTCCTGCTGTTTGTCTAATAACTCCTGAAATGGTTTTGCTAAGAAGTTGAAGCTAATTTTGGATAAAGTGAAAATTTGTGGGTTTTCTGTGAATTGGATTGTTCTTTGCCAATTTCATCCCATTTGGGGAGACTACAGCTGCTAAAATTTAGCAATTATTGTTAATTCTAAATTACAAATAGTGTCAAAGCAGTAGAATGGCAAAGAAAGTTCAGACTGAATTCATCCAGTGAGCATTTTACCCAGTGCTTTCTATTTGTAAGGTACAACTCTGTCCACCTTTACTCATTTTGGAATGCCTAAGAGATGTCGTATATTATGGAATCATGTCCAGATTATAATAAATTGCTAAGACCCAGAGAAAATATCCATTTATATTAAAAACGGTATAAAATACGTATGGGAAAAAAATTTTAAAGAATAAAAATAATTAACCTTCAGAAGGTTAACATAAAAGGCAGTGTAAGGTCTTCAAAGTTCACATCACAAGAAAATAATTATAATTATGTGTGGTGATGGATTTTAACCAGACTTACTGTGGTAATCATTTATAATATGTATCGAATCGCACACATAAAACAAAATGTTATATATCAGTTATATCTCAGTTTTTAAAAAGGCAATTTGTAATCTATGGTTTTATTTATAATAGTTGGTGAGAATATTTTAGAATATAAAAATTTTGAATATCAAACCTTTGTATTACTTTTTTTTTCAGGCTAATTTGTGTTTTGTGGACATTGACAACCATTTTATTGAATTGCCTGAAGAATTTCCACAATTCCCCAATAAGGTGGATTTTATCCAGGAACTCTCTGAAGTGCTTCTTCAATTTGGGATCCCTCCTGAGGGCTGCCTACATGGCAGTGAGAGTGCCACCAAACTGAAGAACCTGGTCCTGAAGGACTTGGTTAATGACAAGAAGAATGGCAACGTCTCCACTAACAACATCAGCATGTATGAGTTGCTGAAGGGCAACGAAACCATAGCCCGCCTCCAAGCTCTGGCCAAGCGGACCGGTGTGACCGTGGAAAAAATGGACCTTTCTGCCTCATTGAGTGAAAAAGAAAAGGATTTAAAACTGCAGTGTGAAGAGGCAGAACTAAGGGACTACCAGCTCAACGTGCAGCTCCGCGAGGTCTTTGCTAACCGCTTTACACAGATGTTCGCAGATTATGAAGCATTTGTGATTCAGACTGCCCAGGACATGGAATCCTGGCTGACCAACCGAGAACAGATGCAGAACTTTGACAAAGTAAAAAAACAAAACAAAACAAAACCCCAACAGTTTCCCTTTCTATGGCTCTTAGTAGGCTGTCTTACTGATCTTGTTAACTTTTTTCACCACAGATTTTTTTTCTCTCCCTTCCCATTAAGAACTTATTCTTTTTTTTTTCTTTTTTTTTTTTTTTTTTTGTCGCAACTCCCCAAGAACTTATTCTTCTATTTGGCCTTCATCCTATAATGACATCTCAACTTGTCCATGTAAAAATAACAGTTTAGTTTCAGAAGACAAAGTTTTACCTCATCTTAGGATCAAAAGAGAGAAAGTGAATAAATTAGGTTTTATGACTGTAAGTCTAAGGTTCCATTCCAAAGTTTGTAGGAAAGGAAGACAAAAAATGACACTGACTTTCAATTGTCCTGCTGAAATCAAAGCTTCTTTCTCAGGTTTCCTAGAAAGTATTCTTCTGGCAGATTTTCTGGACACATCCACCACTTTTTGTGTTTGCTTTTGTTTTCATTTTCCAGACAAAAGCACTTAGGGGTGTGCATTAACTCTTTCAGGTCATTAGAGTGTAGTGCAGTCCTCTGCCTCTGATTGCCAAGGCATCATACTGCTAATAGAATGCATTATGGCTTTTTGCTAAATGGTAGCTTTGTGTCATGAAAGACCTCTCAGAGGGGCTAATGTATTCTAAGAGGCTAATCTACAATCATGGAGTCTCTGACAAGTAAATATTAATAAACATTTTTTGTTAAGGTGGTGGGTAGTATAAAAAATTATTTTCAGACATTTTTTTCAGTTGGAGCTTATAAACTACATTGAGCAGTAAGTTTTGATGCATTTTTTGTTTGAGAAAACTTCTTTAATAAATTAAGCCTTCACTTCTCCAAATGTATTCCTGCTTTTAGGTTCCTTTCTTATTAAGCTTAACCATTTTTTCCTATCTGACTTGGAAGTAATCTGTGTACACTCATGATTTATCCTTGGGGCAATTCAAATTCTTATCTAAATGGAGCACTGGTACTTTCTTCCTTCTTAATCTTTATGTAGCTTCAGACTATAAATGGAATTCTTTTTATATAACCACTAGAGAAATGAAAGTTTCATGTAGCTTCCAGAAGGCCTGTAATCATTTCATTTTTCACTAGGAAAATGTACAGGACTATCACATGCTGGTCCTCCAAGCCAAGTCTTTGCTGACTTAAATGTAGTCCGTGAGGGTCTGAATACCAAAAGCCAAATATTTGGCTCGTTAGGAGGGAGAAGAAAAGCTGTTTGCCGTAGAAAAAGTAAAATTGATATTTATGTATAAAATATCTTTTAAAGAGGTGAATTGATTTTCAGAGACTACTGTGAATCTTTTACTAGCTAACTGGATTTATGTAAATGCATCTAAACTATGAAGGCACTTAAATTGATTAAGTGGTTTTCTCTTTCTTTCTTTCTTTTTTTTTAGTAAGTGGTTTTCTATATGGAACTTTTTTAAAGGTTTCCTAAATTTTAGAATGAAATATAAATATTCTAGGAAGAAGCCAATGAGAATTAAGGAGACTAATCTTATGTCAGAACTTTCACCTTCTAGCTTCTGCCACACTGCACCTACTCAGTAGAATGAAAAGCAAAACCAATTCAGCAGCTGAAATAGTAAATCGCCTCCAAATGTCAGCTAGTATCAAACTCTGACTATAATTCCTGCAAACTCATGAACCTGAAGAACCACAAAAAAAGAAACACTTTGTATTAGGAACTGATTACAATTTACAGAACCATTCCATGCACCATACAGACTGGTAACAGGAACATGCAGCAGGTTATGCATGTTTTCTGAAGGCTTGGTTGATTCGGGTGGTTTTTCAGGCAATATATATATATATATTTTAGTTGTTAAGGCCTAGACTTTTTTAAATCAGCACAAATCAGAAGTATGATCTCAAAGTAACACTCCTTCGTCAGTCTCAAACAGTATTGGGGCCTAGCAAAACATCCACTTGACAGACAGAAAGATTTCACCCATAAGCACGAAGTCCAAAGTTTGGACCACCACAAAGCACAAAGTTTTTTTTAAGGTTATTACGTATATCTCAATCGTATCCATTGATCACGTCAGTGCCTTATGACTCAGAGGTATACTGCATAGGCTAGGAATAGCAAGCAGGAAAAAAAAAATCACAGCTCACTGGAAAAGGGCTCAAAATTATTGGTAAGTAAAGAGGATGATTGATGGTATTGCAGCAACTCATCCACCCTCTTTGATTAGTGATGCCCTCTTTTCTACCTAATGATCATGAGTACCAGAATGTAAATCAATTTTGAAAGGTAGAAACAGTGCTAAAGGCCTAAGTGACCTAAATTCCATGAATTTAGAAGGAAAAGTGATTTTTTTTTGAGATTTTTTAATTTCAAGCATCAGGTTTGCATGTTACACAATTTTTTTAAAGTGACCTCACCAACAAATTTTCAGACTTATTATGTAGTACTGAGATGGTCTCTTTGCACTAATAATTTCTAATTATTCTCATTACAGGCTTCCTTTCTGTCTGACCAGCCTGAACCTTACCTGCCATTTCTTTCACGCTTCATTGAAACACAGATGTTTGCCACCTTCATTGATAATAAAATTATGTCTCAGTGGGAAGAGAAAGATTCTTTGCTTCGGGTCTTTGACTCTCGGATTGAGAAAATAAGACTGTATAATGTAAGGGCACCCACCTTGAGGACATCTATCTATCAGAAATGCAGCACTTTAAAAGAAGCAGGTACATTTGTCATGCCTTTTAAAATTAACTTAAAATCCATGATCATTTCTCTTTACACATTGTTGGCCTTATAAACCAAAAATTAGGGCAGCCCCAGTGGCCCAATGGTTTAGTGTCACCTTCGGCTCAGGGCATGATCCTGGGGTCCCGGGATTGAGTCCCGTGTCGGGCTCCCTGCGTGGAGCCTGCTTCTCCCTCTGCCTGTGTCTCTTCCTCTTTCTCTCTGTGTCTCTCATGAATAAATAAAATCTTTAAGAAATAAAATAAACCAAAAGTTAGCTTTCAGTTTTAGACTTAATGGTTAATTCTTTGTACTATATCAAGTGCTTTCTAGGTTTGTTTCTTTCTGTTTCCATGAGTTAATGTTCATTCCATTCCTACTTAACATTCCCTTTCCTTAGAAGAGGAGAAACAGGGGCACCTGGGTTGCTCCGTTAAGCAACTCTTGATTTTAGCTCAGGTCATGATCTCAGGTTTGTGAAATCAAGTCCCTCATCCAGCTCTGTGCTGGGCATGGAGCCTGCTTTAGATTTTCTCTCTCTCCTACTCCCTTTGCCCCTCACCCCCTCCAGAAAGAAAAGAAAGAAAGAGAGTGTAAGAAGAGGAAAAACAGTAATAAATTGAATGGAATATAACCATAAGGTTGCTATGGTTTTTGTCTTACTCTCTTTCATTGCCTTAATTGAAAAATGTACGTTTCTTTCATGCTACTCATGTTGCCTTTTTATTTCTCACTTCTTTTGTCTTCATTAAAGGAAAGATAAGTATTAATTTAAAATCATAAATCTGACAGGATGCCTGGGTGGCTCAGTCGGTTAAGCATCTGCCTTCAGTTCAGGTCATGATCTTGGGGTCCTGGGATCAAGCCCTGCTTTGGGCTCCCTGCTCAACAGGAGTCTGCTTCTCCCTCTACCTCTGCGCTCTTTCTCTCTCTCTCCCTCTCTCTCCCTTTCTCAAAATAAAAATAAAATATTTTTTAAAATAATAAATAAAATAGTAAATCTGAGATGCTGCCTAATTTATATAACTATTACAGTATATTTACTTTTTAATGGTGCCAATAATTGTAATAGTTTCATTTATTGAAATTAAACCTCTGGATTCTTGTGGGTTTTTTTTTTTAATTTTATTAATCATGAGAGACAGAGAGAGGCAGAGACATAGGCAGAGGGAGAAGCAGGCTCCATGCAGGGAGCCCAATGCGGGACTCAATCCTGGGACCCCAGGATCATGCTCTGAGCCGAAGGCAGATGGTTAACCACTGAGCCATCCAGGCATCCCAATCTCTGGATTCTTGTATTCAAATTAGAGCTTTCCCAACCCTGACACCAGTTTTCTCCTTAGAGAATCAAGTCTTGACTAGTCTTCTCTGGCAGTAATAAAGTCCGTTAAATAAATAATCCTATTAATAGCCAGTATTTACTGAGCCAAACATCATACCACATGTTTTACATGCATTTTTGCATTTGATCTTAACAGTGGGGGTGTGTATGGACAGAGTTACTTCTGTTTTATTACTATCCTTATTTTACAGTTGAGAAAGCTGAAAGATTAAGTAACTTGCTTACGATTGTATAGCTAGAGGCTGGTGGAGCATGATTTGAACTCAGATTTGACTAATTCTATCACTTGAAGCATTAGTACTATATTAGATTTTTATTTAGTAAAGAAACATATGAAGTGTACCAATCCACACAATTTTAGACGTTTGTACATTGTTCCTAGCACTGTCTTTGCCAAATAAACTGATAACTATTACCTGAGTGCCACCCCCCTTTGTTAAATTTTTTCCCCCCTTCTAATATAGAAGCTATTTGAGAACAAGCTTTCCTCTGGTGCAAAAAGAGGCAAGAAAGAGTTTTGTTTTGTTTTTTAAAGATTGTATTTATTTATTCATGAGAGACACAGAGAGAGAGAGAGAGAGAGAGAGAGAGAGAGGCAGAGACACAGGCAGAGGGAGAAGCAGGCTCCATACAGGGAGCCCAATGTGGGACTTTATCCCAGGACTCCAAGGATCACACCCTGAGCCGAGGGCAGACGCTCAACCGCTGAGCCACCCTGGCGTCCCAAGAAAGAATTTCTTTGCTTTGTCTCCTTGCTTGCCTTCCTTACTTTATTTAAATAGATCAAAGTCACAGGAGTGGTGATGCTGTAGTTTTAGCGTATTTAAGGAAAGAAGTATGTAAATGATGTCTTTATATAATCTTAAGAGGTCTCTTTGATAAGCTGAAACATCATTCTGGTGTATTCCCACTTAGTAGAGTAGATCCTTGGAGCCCCTTCAGGAAGTAGCAGTTACCTCTGTGTTTCTGGAAATTGAAGGAGTGGAATGAATGAGATTGTCTGTGCCTGTTCAGAGAACTGTATGACTTTCAGTGATTTAATAGCCATATGAATAATATAATGCCTTGTTGAGAAAATTTCATTCCTCCCTTCCTGACAGAATTTTTTTAATGGAGCTAAGCACTGATTCCTTTATTAGTGTGCCTCCAGAAAATCTTTTCAATTAAAATATATTTTCTGTCAGCTTCTCAAAAAGTTTGACATTCCCACTGTCATCACAGAAATTATGTAATACTCTTGAAAATATACCATTATAGGTTTAACATATGGAAATGAGATTAGGCAAAAGCAGTAGTCTCCCAGGAACCTAATTTATCAAAGACTTTTTTTTTTTTAAGTAAAAGGAGACAGCTGGCTCTGTGTCTATCCCCTATAAATGGTGCAGTTACTTCTTTAATCAGATAAAATTATCCTCCTCCCACCCCCCAACAAAAACTATAGAGATGGGCGTTTTGTTGTTTTTTATTGATTTGGGGGAGGGTTCATCCTTTGTTATTTTGCTTTTATTTTTGTTTTGCCTCTAACTAAAAAGAATTTTAATTTGCAGGTGAACACTTTAGGCAGAGGCTATCTGCTGTTGATATTGTGGCACCAGAACCTCATGATTTCTGTGCAGAAAGACAAGTTGATAGTAATACAGAGTTTGTCTTTTCTCTTACCAATCACAGAAAATGAGTATTGGCACAAACCCTTGAAGATCTAACAGACCCATGACCTCTTAAAGCAGGCATTTAATAATTTCTGAAAGTTCAGTATTCACGGGTTGTATAATTACTGAAAAGTAACATTGCATTATGCTCCCTATGGCAATCTTCAGTATAAACCCCAAAATAACTCATTGTGAATCATGGTTCTTGTTTTTAAATATCTTCCTACTAAAGGAGGATAACTCCATATCAGATGGATTTCTCTGTCATTTTAAATCCAGCGGAAAAACTGAAGCTACTTTTTTTCTTCCTTTCATGAGAACAGAACCATTCATTGGCAGAGATGGAATTTTGTAGTATTTCATGGAACATAAAATTGGCAGGGACTTCAGAGGATTCCATGCCATGAATGTAAGCTTTATTTTGCCTAAGCCATCTGTTAATTAAGTGTTTTATAAATATTAGGAAGCGCTGAGAGTATAGATAGGGTTGTGGAGAGCCAGAGGGCATCATTGGAAATTAAATACCATTTCACGTTAAAACATGGCATTCTTTCGCCCAACATAGAACATATGGACTGTGTTTTAAGAAAAGTTACAAGTTACACATTGAAAATAAAATGAAATTCATGAAGTTTTACATAATCTCATATGAATTATAAAGGAAAAATGAGGGAAATTTGAAGTAGGTATCTAATATTGTGAATTTTAAGTCATTGAAGCTAATAGGGACTTCTGCAAAGCATCCCTAAATGCTGTCATCAAGCACAAGCAACTGGCTTAGGTGAAGCATTTATGTCACACAAGATGGTATTAAACATGTTATTTTGACAAGGGTGGAATACGTCATGGACAGACCCCTCTCTGCTCAAAAAGAAAGTTTGTAAAACTATATATGAGGAATAACCAGCAGTACTCAATCTGCTGATAATTGAAATGGGCAAAATAAACTATTCCATGAAATACTTAATAAAAATACCTTTTACTTCTCTTAAATCTCAAGATTAGCAGTTCCCAGAGTGCGTTCTGTTTATCATACCACCACAATTACTGCTTGTTCTCTCCTTTTAATAATCTGTAGGCAAAGGATTAAAGACCTAGTCTTGCTTCACAAAAACATTTTTCTCTTGAAAATTCAGTTCATAAAAACATTTAAGAACTGATTTCTCTACCAGAGAAATAGTTTGCTATTTTTTGGGTCTTTGAGATATCCTCCTTACTTTAAGTTGTTTTAAATAGAAATATTGAATGATTCCTATCTTTTAACATTGGCTTATTTTATTCTTCAGAAGATCAGTTGCTTATCCTCTGGACATTTTCTAAATGCCTGCTTATTTTATTGTTCTCTGCATTACCCCTCTTGATCTAATAAACACTCCTACTAACGAGAATGTGTTGCTAAAAGTGAAGTAATAAACTTTATAGTTTCTTGTTTTCACAAATGGAGAACTAGAAATATTTAATGAATCTTAATACAATACAAAGAAATAAAGTAATATAAGGCTGCTGTGCTTGCTTTTCCTTCCCTGTCTTTCAGTTCAAAGCTAATATTTTATTTGCCATCATTTTCTTAAAAGTTGTACTTAGAACCATATTTTCATTAAGAAAATATTTTTCTTAAATATTTAATATTGAAGTATTAAAATACTGATTATTCCACTTAAGGGAAACTTGTTTCAGTACTGTAGATTTTCAACCCTGCTGCCATGCTTTTGACAGAGGCAGAAAATACCATGAAAATTAGTCATCTACTATTCACTTGAAATTAACCTCTTTATACTTATATCACACTGATTTCTCAAGAGCTTTTATGAAAATCTATCTTAGAATGTAAGAAAGATTGAGTTCCTTGTTGGTGCATGAGTGGAGGAAACATTGTTTTAAGGTTTAGCCAATGAAATGTCTCTAATTTGTTATAAATTTAATTTTTAGCCCAATCAATTGAGCAGCGACTAATGAAAATGGATCACACTGCAATCCATCCACATCTGCTTGATATGAAAATCGGTCAAGGCAAATATGAGCAAGGGTTCTTTCCAAAGTTACAGTCTGATGTCTTGGCAACAGGACCAACTAATAACAAGTAAGCATGTTCTCCATTTGAGCAGTGAGTTGAAGGGATAAGAAGGGTGCAATGCTGTGCAGCTCTAATGGGGCACTGAAGTCATTAAATATCTTATCGATCTGGATCACTTTCTTCAAATCAATCCATTTGGAATATGGATTGGCATTCTGTGAGTATTTGACTTTAATTCCATCATGTGAAAAATCCAAAGACTAGAGATTTTTTTCTTTTTTAAAGTAATGTGCACTTAGAAATAGTTTCACTTTAAATATAATGCTAATACTGTCTAATGGAATTAGAAAATGTATACTTTCATTGTTGTATTAGTTTCCTAGGACTGCTGTAACAAAGTACTACAAATTTAGTAGCTTTTAAAATAACAGAAATTTATTCTTTCACAGTTCTGGAAACTGGAAATTCAAAATCAAGGTATTGGCAGGACCGTTCTCCCTCCAAGAACTCTAAGGGAGAAGCCTTCTTTGCTTCTTCAACTTCTGCTGGCCTCAGGCATTCCTTGACTTCTAACAGTGCTAACTCTAGTCTCTATCTCTGTCTTCATGTCCCTCTATGTCTGAGTCCAAGTTTCCTCCTCTTATGAGGACACCAGTCCTGTTGGATTAGGCCCCATATTCATGACCTCATCTTAACTTGATGACATTTCCAAAGACCAAATAAGGTCTCATGGTCATAGGTATTGAGTTTAAGACTTCAACATGTCATGGAGGGAAGTGGGAGGTAGGCATAGGTCAACCTAGAACACCACCTTTTTTTAAGAATCAAGTGCAAAAATTACCAAAAAATAAAGATAAACCCTGTTATTTTTTATGGCAGATGATTCCATTTAGAAAATATCTAAATGTGATTAGAATTGAAAGAATTATTTGGGTTAGGGGAATTCTTAACTTTAGGTGAATATAGTGTTTAATTAACAAGTGAGTAATATTTTTATGCAAAGATGGCGCTGAAGGTGAAGAAGGAAGCTCCTGCCCTTCCCAAAGCAAAAAACAAAGCTAAGGCTTTCAAGGCCAAGAAAGTGATGCTGAAAGGCATCCACATTTACCAAAAGAAGATCCGTATGTCACTTACATTCCTATGACCAAGACATTGCATCTCCAGAGGCAGCCCAAATACCTTCTAAAGAGTGCCTCGGGGAGAAACAAGCTTGATCACCATGGCATCATCAAGTTCCCCCTGACTACAGAGTCAGCCATGAAGAAAACAGAAGCCAGCTACACACTTGTGTTCATTGTGGGTGTAGAGGCCAACAGCACCAGATCAAACAGGCTGTGAAGAAGCTCTACAACATTGACTGGCCAAGATCAACACCCTGATCAGGAGAGAAGAAGGCATATGTTCTACTGGCTCACTGAGTCTAGCTGGCTAAATCTAAATATAGATATTTTTTATCACCATTAAAAAAAAAAACTAGCAAGTGAGAAATAGAAATAAAGGATGGTTTTCCAAGAAAGGACACAAAGAGGGGTGTCTGGGTGGCTCAGTTGGTTAAGCATCTGCCTTCAGCTCAGGTCATGATCCCAGGATCCTGGGATGAAAGCCCATGTTGGGCTCCCTGATCAGCAGGGAGTCTGCTTCTCCTTCCTCTTCTCCCTCTGTGTGCTCTCTCCTGCACTCACTCACTCTCTCTCTCGCAAAAATAAATAAATATATATATAAATATCTCTAAGAAAAAGAAAAGACACAAAGGTATTAAAGGAGAAATACTGTAAGTTTCAAAGAAAAAACTTGGAATCAGAAATAAGTAATTCTGGAATTTACTCTTAACCACTAACCAGCTTAGGAACCTTAGACAAGTTGGAATCATTTGCCCCTTTCTCACCTGAAAAAGAATTTTTTTTAAGATTTTATTTATTTATTTGTGAGAGACACAGAGAGAGGCAGAGAGACACATAGGCAGGAGGAGAAAGAAGCAGGCTCCCCACAGGGAGCCTAATGTGGGATTCGATCCCCAATCCAGGGTTCACGCCCTGAGCCAAAGGCAGACGCTGAACCACCGAGCCACCCACGCGTCCCTCACCTGAAAGTATTCTAATATTCTATAACACCTATCATCTTACCAAAGTGGCTAGAGGAGGAATGGAAAAAGCCATGCTGTGGCAAAGAAATGGGAGAGAAGACTGAGGTAAAGATTGGATACACAAGATGGAAATGGCATTGAGCCACCCAAATTTTTAGAAGCTAAGTAGAGAATCAGGGGAATAAAAAAGAGGTAGAATTATGTCTTTTGACCTAAATGGGCCAAACTAAATAAGTAATGTGAAGATTCTCGAAAGATGGTTTAAAAGTGTGATGTTTGTTTTTCAGATGAACTACTTAACTTCTGTGTTGCAAAGTCTTGATTCTTGCCTTTTTTTTTTAAGATTTTATTTATTTATTCATGAGAGACACAGAGAGGGGCAGAGTACACAGGCAGAGGAAGAAGCAGGCTCCATGCAGGGAGCCCGATGCAGGACTCGATCCTGGGACTCCAGGAACACACCCTGGGCTGAAGGCATACGCTCAACTACTGAGCTACCCAGGCGTGCCGATATTTGCCTCTTTATTTCCTATGATGTTCGTTATGATTCTATTGGTCAGGAAAAAGGAAAACATAGTAATTTTATCTACATAATATGTGATGGTAACACTTGATTTAATTTGATGAACACTATTCTAAGCTAGGTAGTGTGGTATTTGGGATTTCTTAGGGTGCATGTACGTGTGGTAATACTTGTGTATTCTTGTGTTTGCACTGCTAATACCCTATTTTTAATAACCTGAAAGGAATGAAACCGGTAGCATTTTCCTAGCTAAAGGTGTTCCTTTAAATATGTTTCTTAAATGTGTCAAATGATTGATTCATTTTAGTTCCAAATGGAGAAAGCTATAGTGATAACAAACGCATCAAAGGAGAAAAAGTGATAGGTGTGGATTAAGGAAAAGAGTTATAGTACCATTTACATTGTTGCTTCTTTTCCTTTCAGAGTCTAGTTCTGTATCATCATAAATATATACCCCTTAACAGATCTCAGTCAGAAAACTTAGAAATTTTCATCACTCTGTCAAGTAATTATTCTTCTTTCCTTCATGTTGTCTGCTTCCAAATAGACCTTTCCTGCCGGTGGAGACCTCTTCACTCCAGGAGAGGGGTGGTTATGTTTTATTGATATTAATAGCTCATATTAAGCTGATTCTACCCTGGCTTCTCTGCTAGACTGCACTGAGTACATTAGCTCATTTTTACAAACATATCCCTATATATAAAATCTATATTGCTTTATCCATTTTATGAATGAGGTTCAGAGAAATTCAACAGCTTGCTCCAAGATCACATAGCTAGGAAGTGGTGAAACTAAAATTCAAACCTAGGTCTGCTGATTCAGGGGCCCAGGCCCTTAACTGATATACCACGTATATATATTGTCTGGCTCAGTTTCTTCAAAACAAGGGTGACAAATGACTTTGGTTACTTTTGGAGTTGGAAACTGCTTTGGTAGCCCCCAAGAAATTTTGAATAGCCTAAAATATTGGACATACATGTGTACTATGGGAAAGAAAGATAAGCACCAAAATTTTTTAATACATACTTTTACAAGTCATCTGAAAGAAACATCATACTTTTAAGCTACCTTTCAAGAACCTTAATATGGGGCAGCCCAGTGACTCAGCAGTTTAGCACCTCCTTAGGCCCAGGGTCTGATTCTGGAGACCAGGGATTGAGTCCCATGTCGGGCTTCCTGCATGGATCCTGCTTCTCCCTCTGCCTGAGTCTGCCTCTCTCTCTCTCTCTGTCTCTCTCTCTCTCTCTCTCTCTCTCTCTCTCTCTCTGTGTCTCTCATGAATAAATAAATAAAATCTTAAAAAAAAAAAACAAACCTTAATATGAGTTTGGGCCACTTAAGTCAAAAGGCATAATTCTACTTTTTTATTCCCTTTTTTGAGTCGCTACTTGCCTTCTGAAAATTCAGGTGACTCAGTGCCACTTCTGTTTTGTGTACCCAATGTAACAAGATCTTCCGCAATGAAAGAGCCCTCAGATACCTCACGTCTGCCTTAAACGACTCTATTAAGAGGGGTGGCCCCAAAGAAGATAGGATAATACTCTGCGGAGCAAGGTATATTTGTAGGCACCATCTTCCCTAGTGAAGAACTACATGAAGCAGTGGTTGAGTTCAAATAGCCTAACCATGAAGACAATGGCCTTATGTGTTAGAGGAGTCTGAACTTGGGTTACTGGCAAAGTTAGGAGTGGAACTCAGGTCTCCTTGCTCTAGGTACCATGTTCTTGATATCTCTCTTTTTTTAAAGACTTTATTTATTTACGAGAGACACAGAGAGAGGCAGAGGGAGAAGCAGGCTCCCGAGAAGGAGCCCAGTGTGGGACTTGATCCCAGATCCTGGGATGGTGCCCTGAGCCGAAGACAGATGCTCAACCGCTGAGCCACCCAGGCATCCCGATGATATCTCATTTATAAAGCCTGGAGTTCTAGAAAACTTTCAGTCCAGTATCCTTTTAAAAATCTTTTAAAAAAAGAGCAGCCCCGGTGGCTTAGCGGTTTAGTGCTGCCTTCAGCCCAGGGCGTGATCCTAGAGACCTGGGGTCGAGTCCCCTGTCAGGCTCCCTGCATGGAGCTTGCTTCTCCCTCTCTTTCTCTCTCTCTCTTTCTCTGTCTCTAATTAATAATTTTAAAAATCTTTAAAAACAGAATTATTGATCTTTAAAGGCTTTGATTTAAATAGATTGTCTAAACTTTAATGAAGTCAGTAATGGAGGATGATTTCACGAGAGAGGTGGAAAAGTTATGTATTCACATTGAAATCTTCCCCTCCTGTAGAAAATGCAAGTGTTTATGCTAAGGTCTTAGAAAGGAAGATTGTAGAGATAATTTAATATGCCTCTCACAAGACAGAAGTAAATAGCTGATGACTGAAAATGTTATCTTATTTATCTTAGTTAACTGTAGGAGTTTACCCTCCATTGAAGAGCTATTCCTACTTTTTTTTTTAATTATTATTTTTTTAATTTATTAGGGAGAGAGAGAGAGACAGAGACACAGGCGGAGGGAGAAGCAGGCTCCATGCAGGGAGCCCGATGTGGGACTCGATCCCGGGACTCCAGGATCACACCCTGGACCAAAGGCAGGCACTAAACCGCTGAGCCACCCAGGCTGCCCTCTTGCTTTTAATCTTCTATACAATCCCAAGGTCTCTTATTTCCAGACTAAGTCCCAAGTATTACATTTTCAGGTAGATTGTAGTCTGAAAGGGAAAAGACCTAAGAACTCATTGCAGGATAAAGAGATGTATAATCATGCCTCTGCAAATGGTTGATCAAGTCTTAGAATTTCATATGCTGCTTACAAAACAAGAGCAAATAAGCAGTCATTAGTATTTTAGCAAATGTGATCATCTTTGGTAAAAATATGCTTAGTAAATGAGACTTAATAATGAAAAAAGCAATTCCTTAATAAGACCAAGAGTGTATAGATTTCATAGTAATTTTCTTAAGCAGATGATTACATCCCTGTTTTGAAAATAAAATAGGACATTCTGTGCCACAGAGTGTATAGTAAGATGCTAGTTTTATCATGTAAGTTAATATCCTTTTCTTTACCTAAAGCCTTTTCCACTTTTGCCTGCCAAGGGAACTTTTCTGCTACTTATATTCTGTTCCTTCTCTTTAATTATTATTTAAGTTCATTAGCTGGTGCTTATAGTCTGTTTCCTATTTTTACTATTTATTTGAACCCTAGTTTTTTAAATTCTTTTTTTTTTTAGTTTTTTAAATTCTTGAACAAATTTTGCTGTCTTTCACTGATGTTTTTCTACAGGGCTATTTCTAAAGAACATTTTGTTTGTTAACCTATATTTCCCCTTTGTTTATCATGAAAATTTATCATCCTGTGTTTATATTCTACTTCAAAGTTGTTAAAGAAGAAAGAAAAAACCAAAGTTGTTAAAGAAAAAAATATTCATGACACTTGTTGAAGACGGTAACACAGACTTTATTCGAGGGAGGCCATGTAGGGACCATTGCAGTGGGCAAGAGATTGAGATTGAACTCTATTCCAAATATAATGTGGATAACTAGGAATTTATAATCAAGTAGCAGAATAGAGAGAAAATTACTAAGAGGAAACATCAGAGGTAGGGGGGAGGGGTGGGGATTTTGACTAAACCACCCAAACAGGATTCTTGCTGAAGGTAGGCCTGAGTGATCAGACATCATGTGGAAGGTGATGAATGATGTAGAAGCTGAACAGATATGGAGAATGATCATATACTGGGGCGGGGAGGGGGAATGGACTTAGCAAGGCTCTTGTTAAACGGGATTTTATAAGGCAGTGCAAAGATGGACCTAGGAGAAAGTTCAAGAGCCTAGCTAAAGTTTGATCAAACAAAGAATCTTGGGACACCTAGGTGGCTCAACAGTTGAGCATCTGCCTTCAGCTCAGGGTGTAATCCCAGGTCTGGGGATGAGTCCCACATCGGGCTCCCCACAGGGAGCCTTCTCCTCCCTCTGCCCATGTCTTTGCTCTCTCTCTTTATGTCTCTCATGAATAAATAAATAAAATCTTTAAAAAAAAAGGTAAAGAATCTTTGTCATTGTATTAATATGTTTTTTTCTGGATCTTTCTCAGTCACTGCAGTTCTCTTTGTATCGTTTTATAGTCTAACTTTGATCCTTTGCTATAGGGACAGTTCCAAGGATTCCACTTCAAAGATCTATCACTAGGACTTTGTATTTGTTGTCCCAGTATAAGCCTGTTTTTCTTAACTATCTTAAGAGGGGACTACCTTTCTCGTTATCATTTTTGTCATAATTATTCAGTGTTCCCTAAATAGCAGCCTGAGATGATTCAGAAACTTGAAACCAAAGGCATGCATAAATTATTTTAAAAGCAAGAAAGAAGCTGCATTCTCATTTTAAGCTTTTTGTAAATTGCATACTTTATTAAATAAAAAATTAAAAGTAATGAACTGCCAGTAATACAATATGACTTTTCCTGAATGGCAAAAGTATAAATTCATTTTTTACATTGTGTACAGCTCTGTGCTGGCAAGAATATATTCAAGAGTAGATATTCTTAGAACTAAGTGTGATGACTACATAATCATGAGGATAATAAGTCAAAATCTGAGGAATTTTTAAAATAGTTTGGTATAAAATAATATATGCTTATTAGAAAATTGAAAGTGATAGGGTAAATTTTAAAACACCCATAATGCCATCACCACGAGATGTTAAGATTTGCTGATAGGCTCTTCCTTTGCATGGATCCTGATGTGCATGTCCACGCTTTTTAAAACAAAATTAGCATATTACTTATACAGTGTTTTATCTTTTTTTTTTTATTTTTTTTATTTATTTATGATAGTCACACAGAGAGAGAGAGGCAGAGACACAGGCAGAGGGGAGAAGCAGGCTCCATGCACCGGGAGCCCGACGTGGGACTCGATCCCGGGTCTCCAGGATCGCGCCCTGGGCCAAAGGCAGGCGCCAAACCACTGCGCCACCCAGGGATCCCTACAGTGTTTTATCTTGATTCTTCTTTTCTTTTCTTTTTTTTTTTTTTTTAAGATTTTATTTGTTTATTCATGAGAGGCACACAGGGAGAGATTGGCAGAGACACAGGCAGAGGGAGAAACAGGCTTCATGCAGGAAGCCCAACATGGGACTCGATCCCTGGTCTCCAGGTTCACGGCCTGGACTGAAGGTGGCACTAAACCGCTGAGCCACCCGGGCTGCCCTATCTTGATTTTTCACTCATTATTATACCATCAACAGTCTCCCATATTAATATTCCTAGCAATTTGATTTTTTTTGTGACTGTATCTTTCATTATATAGCACCCCCTACTGTTGAACATACAGATTGTTTTGAACACAATTACTTGATTTTGAGTAACTTGGTTGTAAGACCTGCTCTGAACTCAAAAACTTTTTGGAACTATTATACATTAAACATGCATATGGAAAAAGAGACACATCCTAATTCAGGAACATTTAGAAGCCAAAATGTGAGTCTTGGAATAAAGGAAGTAAATTTTGTTATATTCATGCTGTGAAGAACATCTATAAACCTAAATATTGAACTAAATCTCTGATTATTTATTTAGAGTATATTCCTAGAAGGGCCAGATGATGTACAGACTGCCAGTGAAACAGCTGACAGGGGCACCTGGACGCCGCGGTCAGTTATGTACCCGACTCTTGATTTCAGTTCAAGTCCTAATCTCAGATTCATGATCTAGCCCTATATGGGGCTCTGTGCTCAGTGAGGAGATGGCTTGAGAGTCTCCCTTTCCTTCTCTGCCCCTCCTGCTTATGCTCTCTCTGCCTCTCTAAAATAAATAAATTGTTTAAAAAAAAAAAAAGCTGACAGACGTGATACCAGCCCTTCAAGAGTTTATAGTAGAGAGGATTTTGTGGGAAATAGAGATAAATACTTACAACACAAAGCTAATACAAATGGGGAGTGTAAGAGGGGTAGACAGTTTAGATTTGGAGGAATCAACACTTTCTTGTGCATTGAAGCTATCTGAAAGAAGAATAGAAGTGGGAGGAAACCAGGACAAAGGCTCACATGTGACCGAACTGACCCCATTGGAAATACAGACATAGTTGAAAGTAGCTGGAGGTGTAAGGTAGTGCTAAGTATAGCAGAGAGTTTGGGTTGGCAAAGAATTGAGTGATTGCTCTGAATATGGCAGCTAGAGGTGTAAATGGCTTCAAGAGCATTGTCGGGAAGCTGATTTAGATAAACTGAAGATCCAAAGGTAAAAAGTTGAGGCTAAGAATTTTTTCATGAGAAGAGTGAAGAAAGAAACTAAGTATAACTTTCAAGAGCCAAGAGAGAGATCAACCTGCTTATCAGCTGAAGGGAAGTATTCAGATGAGAAAGAAAAATTGAAGATACAGAAAAAGAGATGATTAATGCAGCAGGTTGAAGAAGTCAAGAGAGAATGCGTCAGGGAGTTTCTTCTAGGTGGCAGAATTAGTTTTGAGCCATGACCAATACATTTTATACTTTGTGATTGATTAAAGAAAGATGAGAGGTATCTATGTGTATACATTAAGTAGAGGGCAGGAAGGAGTCAAGGGTGGGCCATCAGTTGAGGGGAGTCACTTGATGAAGCGAAAGGTTTGAAACATTTTTTGAGGGGAATGTGAGAGAGTTGATCAAGGGCAGGTAAAGTGATTCTTGGGGAGTCCTGAAAGAAATAACTAATCTGCATAAATAGAACAGAGAAGAGGATGGTATTCATTCAGATTTGGGGCTCTGTTGGACACTAAAGTGGAAAAATAATTTTTTTTTTAAGATTTTATTCATTCATGAAAGATAGAGGCAGAGAGAGGAGCAGTTTCCCTGCAAGGAGCCTGATGTGGAACTTGATCCTGGACCCCGGGATCATGCCCTGAGCCGAAAGCAGACGCTCAACCGCTGAGCCACCCAGGTGTCCCAGAAATGATCATTATGAGGAGATACTGTGTATTTTTTTAACCTCATTTTTGAAAAAGTATTGATTGTAGTGATGGTTGCATGTCTGAATATAATAAAAACACTGACTTACATGCTTTAAGTGGATGAATTGTTTGGTATTTAATTATATCACAATAAAGCTGCTCTATATTTAAAGAATTGATTGAAAAGCAAGTATTGTTAGTCTTTTGTTTTAAACAGTACATTTTTTCTAGTTTAAAGATAAGTTGTCACTTTTTTTTTGTTTTTTGTTTTTTTTGTTTTTTTTTTGTTTAGTTGTTTGTTTTAACCTGCACCTTCTTGGGTATGGCTATCTTTCCAGTCGCTGGGTAAGTCGGAGTGCCACGGCGCAGCGCAGGAAAGACCGCCTTCGCCAACATTCTGAGCACATTGGATTGGACAACGACCTGAGGGAGGTATGTGGGCTGCCTTTCTGGGATACCTCCATACAAGAGCCACAACTCGGCTAACTCAGCCCAGCAGTTGTCCTTGTGCAGGTTCTTCCTCATTCTTTTACAAATGGTTCAGTTTCATTTTAAAGTAGTAATATTTTTGTACTGACTTACAGCAGAAAACACCATTTTCCCCATTTTTGTAATTTTAATATACCTAAAGTAAGGCTCTAAAGCAAATCTCCCTGTATAGTGCATCAAGTAAAGGTTAAGTTTTCAATAAAGTTTTGGTCAATATGTCTCCTATGGGAAAAAAATATATACAAGAAACAGATTTTTTTAAAGTTTCAAACATAATTTATACTTAGTAAAAATGTATTTGCTTGTGCTTTATCCTAAGCTTGCTGACACCCATTTTTAAAGTGTTAGAAATTATTTTTTAATTAAAATCCTTATGCTTTATTTGTACTACTTGAAAATAAAACCATATTTATACATTTGAATAATTATATAAGGTTTGATTATTGTGATCAAAGAAAATTGCAGTCAGAACATCTGTTAACTGTTTTCTAAACTCAGATGTGTAGAAATAAAGCAGAAAACATCATTCCAAATACATATTGCTTTTTTGTTGAAATGTTCATACATTTATGATTTTAAGCATTTTCTTAAAAACTGAAGTGTAATCTGTCCAGTGCTTTTCTTTGTGCTACCATATTTTCTTCTCTCCCCTTTTGCTGTGACTTTATCATGTGCATGCATGTTTTGCTTGTCTCTTTCTCCCTGTCCTTTTCTTTTTTGCTTTTCTGTCATTGGCACTTCTCCATCCTCTTAGCCTTCCGGGGAACTTTTGGTCTGTCAGAACTCCATGGCATTCTGGGAGTGGGATCAGGGTCCACCTCCTCCTGCACGACTTCCTAAAAAATCCTTCTCTGAGTGCTGCCTGGTATGTTCTTTGCCTGAAAGTGCTTTGCAGATGTTCCTGAGTTCTCTTTGGTGTTCCTTGAATTATCCACGTGTGTGTGCGCACATAGCTCTAGAATGCCTCACATCACCTTGTGACATGAACTGTCAGCCTCTCCATTTTGCTCTCCACTTCCTCCTGTGTTTGGTACCTTTTCACGGTGGTGTATGCTAACATGAGTAATTCTATACTGTTGACAGGTAAAACTGATCATTTGAATTCCTAATTTGTGGTATTTTGGCAAGTGAAGGGAGAGGAGTTGTAGAGGGGCCAGACTAGCATGTTGTTGTTCTTCCAAAGGAGAAATAAATGCTCAAACTTCCTTTTATTTACACATCTGCAGAAATACAGAAATAATTCTTTTTTGAACAGCTTTTCTTTTTTTTTTTTTTTTTGTGGTTCTTTTGGGGGGGGTTATTGTTTTTTTTTTTTTTTTTTAGTTTGAAATTTACTTCTTTTATTCATTGTCTGTATTTTATGTGGTTAGAAAATCAGGTCATCAATATAGAATCTTAGTTCTAAAAGGAACCTTTGAGGTCACCTTGTCCAACATGACATGAAGTCCAAGAGACTTGCCGAAAGTTAAATGGACACCCAAAGGCAGAGCTGGGCCTATAGCCCAGGACTGCTGAAAGCCAAACTGACTGATACTCTTCCCAGTAACCCAGTATACCACGTTGCAATCAGCAGCTATCTGAGAGCAAGAGTATCATAGGACTCCTGATTTGTAGTTTGAGGCTTTGACAGAAATGAAAAAAGACATAATAGAAATCTAGGGTCACTTCCTTTTAGTAGTGAGATAGGCTTTCTTACAAAAACATTTCTTGTGAAAGGTTTCTCTTTCTTCTCCATTTTTCACCTTAAAGTACACCTTTTCCTCCAGCTGCCCCAAAGAAAATTACATCTTTATCATCACTTGTTTACCGTTAAGGCAAGTACTCTATTTTTGCAATATACAGAGGCAACATCACTTCTTGATGTGAGGAAAGGCCTCATGCCCACCACACGCACACGCACACACACCCTGTATCCTTTATGTGCACATCCAAGGGATGTTGCTCATTCCATGGCTTCAGCAGAGCTGCTCGAGAGGAGTCTTGGCCCTATGGAGTTTGCCGTTGGCTAATAATTTTACTGCCCTGTATGTGCTGTGTGCTTGGTAAATATGGCCAAAGGATAGCCCCATTCTAGCTTATTTTCATTTGTAAAATAGAATGTAAACTTTAACAGTGCTTAAATTCTTAATCTAATATGGACTTAAAATCTAATTGTTGATATATATCAGAAGAAAGAAATGCCAGGACCTATTCCTAGCCTCTTGCCTGTGTTTCTCACTCCTTTTCTTCTAGCCAGTATGTTTCTTTCTAAGCTAAATTTGATCCTTACCTTTTCCTGAGAACTAAGTCCTAGTAGTTCTCTCTGCTTTTGCATAAGTCCTAAAGTAGAGGAATTGAGGCTGAGGAGAAACAACCCCTTTAACACATGGCAGTTAATATCTGTTTATATCAGAGGTGATAGTTATCTTTCATTCTCAATTTTCCCTGTTTCTTTGACCCTCCCAAAAGAGATTTGAAGCAGAAAGATGCATACACAAGTATTATAGGAATTAAATTCTTACAGCACTCATTTTTTAAAAATCTGTCCTTAAAATGATTGCACTGGAAAGGAAATGGATTATTTTGTTTATGCAACAGCGGGAAACTGATTAGTTGAATCCCTAATCAGTGGGGATTTTTTAGAAATTTGTACAAGATTTAGCAGATCAGTTTTCTTCCAAAGGGGAAATACTGTAAATGTACAAACTCCCATTTATTTAGAGAATGTAAAGGAGTTTACACATTTTCCCTTATAATATAAAATTCTTCCCTTGAGATAGTAAAGATAGATTTCACATATGTGTGTGTGGGAGGATATGCTGGCTCACAATCTCTCTCCCCTCAACAAACTGCTAGTTTTACTATATAACTTAGAGTAGTCATTCTCTAAATATGGCCCTAAGACACTTGGACATTTTGGAGATTCTGCTTTGTGGTCCTGATGCAAACATAAGTATCTAGATGAGCTTTTGCATGTGGCACAGGAAAAAGAGAGACAACAGATGTACGGTGATAATAACCTGTAGTGATTTTTTCCCCCTGGACATTCACTAACTAAAGCTCAAGAGCAGTGGACTGGGTCTCTGAGTTTCTGGGTTTCTCTCTCTGAGCCATCACTATCTCTGAAAGTAATATAATGTCTCTGCTTTCTCTTGATTATGGAACAAGGCAAGGGAGGGAATGTAGCAAACATGTTCAGAGTGAGTTCATAGTCTTTCTTGTGAGGTGGGAGAGTGTGTTTTATGCCCATTTTACAAATAAGCAAATATGCCTGAGATTATAAAGTTAGTTGCAACCAGATTCTAGAGCTCCTGATTTTACTGTTGTGACTTGATTAGAACAAAGGGTTGGTTTGAAGAGCATTGTCCAAGAGACTAGAAGTATGTTGAGTATCTTGATCTGTGGGACAGGAAGAAACCAGTGATCTGAGTTCTTGGAAAACCTTGGATTCGTAATTTAGAAACCCAAATTTTTTTCATGCCTGTCATGATCCTGACTAATCACAACCTTGGGTATTCCCAATAAAAAGTTTAAACGAGGTGAGCTCCATCTTATTATGAATGTGTTTTAACCTGACACGATTTCAAGTGCCCTCATTTTCACAGGAGTTAACAACTGGGGAGTGGGGGAAATACAAACTGTCCTCTGCCTGTTGGTAGTGCTAAAACTTGAATTGCTAGCGCATGAATACACTTACAGCCGTTTTTTGCATCTTGTTTTTTCTCACTTGTTTGTGTAATGTTAAAAGTCAGGAGAATATCTGATATTTGTGTATTAAAATACTCTTTAATTTTTAGAAATATATGCAAGAGGCACGAAGTTTAGGAAAAAACCTGAGGCAACCCAAATTGTCAGACCTCTCGCCTGCAGTGATTGCACAAACCAACTGCAAATTTGTAGAAGGCTTATTAAAAGAATGTAGAATGAAGGTACGTATTACTCACTGATGTGAGACAGTGTGCACTCAACTCCCATTTGAGCTTGTAGCTTTCCTAGAGGAAAACTTTAACTGAGGATAAACCTCATAAGTTCTTTACTGAGCTCATGAACCTTTGTGGGTTCTATGTTGCCCATAGAATCAGTGACATGGGAGCCCTGCAGTTTTTCTCACCTTTTCAGTCTTTTCATTGCTGTCTTCCTCTTTAGCATGAACAGATAGTAAGTAAGTCAAAAGCTGTGGGATGCCTGGCTGGCTCATTCAGTAGAGCATGTGACTCTGGTTTTGTTCATTTTGTTTTGTTTTTTAGAGAGAAAGTTTGGGCGGGGGTGTTGGGGGTGCATGCTGCACAGGTGGAGAGAAACTTCAAGCTGACTTCTCACTGAGCACAGAGCCTGACTTGGGGCTAGATCTCACTACACTGAGATCATGACCTAAGCTGAAATCAACAGTCAGACACTTAACTGAGCCACCCAGGTGCCCAGAACATGCGACTCTTAATCTCAAGAGTTTGAGCCTCACATTGGGTGTGTAGAGCCTACTTAAAAGAAGTAACTTGCATCAGGAATGTGGTCATTTTATATGAAAGGCAACACATTTTTTTGTATAAAACATTGTCCATGTCCATACACGTACGTATACCCATAAGGAAGAAGACCTTAGCTGTGTTGTAGTTTTGTGTATATTACACACTAGTCTCTTCTTAAATATCCATGTTTATCAAAGGTAGTAATAACAAATTAACAAGATTCAGGACATAATTTTAGCCAGTAATTTCATCCTTTTTTTTTTTTAAGATTTATTTATTTATTCATGAGAGACACAGAGAGAGACAGGCAGAGACACAGGCAGAGGGAGAAGCAGGCTCCATGCAGGGAGCCCGATGTGGGACTCGATCCTGGGCCTCCAGGACCATGCCCTGGGCCGAAGGCAGGCGCTAAACCACTGAGCCACCCAGGGATCCCAATTTCATCCTTTTGAGTCATTTCTTGAGTACCTTCTGTGTATATTCAATAAATGCACTATTTTCAGCATCAGCATACAGTGTTGAATCAGAGACAAGGTCCCCACCTAAAGCAACTAGATTCTTTCTCACTTTATATTTTATAAGTACATCTAAGACTGCTGTGAATTATTTACTTGAAGCTGATTTCCATTTCCATTTTCTGGTACATACTCATGAGCAGAGACAAGATGAAAGAGGAAAAGAAGAAGGAAAAAGAGTCCTGGTTCACCAATTAGGGAGTTCTAAAAAAATTTGGAGCTGCCTATATGTGTTGTGGTTTTTGCATAAGTGCAATCAAAACTAGCTGCAGATATCTTCAGTATGCCAAGATGCAGGGGCAGTGGAGGGTTAGTTGTAACAGGATGAGTTTCAGATTCTGACAGTACATTTTATGGGTCTAGTGTAATTCCCCAGTGTTACTGTAGATAATAATCTGAAGATAATCGATCCTAAGGGTTTACATGGGATACTTTAAAATAGTATTGTGGGAGGCAAAAAGATAGATGATAGATAGATAGATAGATAGATAGATAGATAGATAGATAGATAGACAGACAGATGATAGAAAGATGGGTAGATAGATAAAAATAGTATCATAATCTCCCTCTGGTGAACCCCCTATTTATCTAACAAAATACTAAAAGTATATGATATTACTGTAGTTAGTTGACCACGGAAATTAAGACACTTTTCCCAAAGTGATTAAATTCTACAATTAGAAGTATGATGAAAGGGATGCCTGGCTGGCTCAGTTGATGGAGCATGCAGTGCTTGATCTTGGGATTGTAGGTTCAAGCCCCACGTTGAGTGTAGAGATTACTTAAAAATAAAATGTTTAGGGATCCCTGGGTGGCGCAGCGGTTTGGCACCTGCCTTTGGCCCAGGGGCGCGATCCTGGAGATCCAGGATCGAATCCCACATCGGGCTCCCGGTGCCTGGAGCCTGCTTCTCCCTCTGCCTATGTCTCTGCCTGTCTCTCTTTCTCTCTCTGTGACTATCATAAATAAATAAATAAATAAATAAATAAATAAATAAATAAATAAATAAATAAATAAATAAATAAATAAATAAATAAATAAATTTAAAGAAATAAAAATAAAATAAAATGTTTAGGGTACCTGAGTGGCTCAGTCAGCTGGGCATCTGCCTTCAGCTCGGGTTGTGACCCCAGGGTCCTGGGATGGACATCAGGCTCCCTGCTCTGTGGGGAGCCTGCTTCTTCCTGCCTACCACTCCCCCTGCTTGTGCTCACTCACTCTCTCTCGCTCTCTGTCAAATAAATAAAATCTTAGAAAAAAATTTTAAAATTTAAAAAATAAAATGTTTAAAAAAGTAGTATAATGAAGGGAATCCAGGTCTCTGATCTAGTGGTTGGTTGACTTGTTGGATTTTGGCTTCACTGCTGGGTTAATACTTTTGCTCACACATGATGCTTTCAGACAAAACGCATGTTGGTGGAGAAAATGGGACATGAAGCAGTGGAACTGGGCCATGGAGAAGCAAACATAACTGGCTTAGAAGAGAACACCTTAATTGCCAGCCTCTGTGACCTACTGGAAAGAATATGGAGCCACGGCTTACAGATCAAGCAGGTAATAATCTCAGGAGGTCCTGGTGACATGGCTGATTAGGAACCCTGCCAAGAAATGTACAAGGAGAGGCACTTGGTGGCTCAGTTGGTTGAGCTTCCGACTTGATTTCAGCTCAGGTCATGATCTCAGGGTCATGAGATTGACCCCCAAGTTGGGCTCCATACTCAGTACATAGTCTGCTTGAGTTTTTCTCTCACTCTGCCTCTGCCCCTCTCTCCCATGCTCTTTCTTTCTCTCTCTAAAATAAATAAGTAAATCTTTAAAAAGAAAAGAAAAGAACAAGGAGAAAACGATATAAAAATTAAACGTTATGGTTCTTTGTCACAGGATGACTAGAAATGCACCACAGGCTTTTTAATTCCAGAAAAAGAAAATAAAACCCATGATTAAGAGGTGGTTTGGGGCTCTTTCATGGTAAACAGGAAAGGATAAAACAGCACATTTACTGCAGAGGTTATATCCTCTTGATTCCATTAAGTGTCTGCCTTCGTCACTGTTCAGGAAAAAAATCTGTTAGCCAGAATTAACAGTTCTTTACCATTTTAAGTTATGTAGTTATTCAGGGTAGAAAAATTCAGATAGTTTCTTTGCTTTTGTTTCTCTTATCTCCTATTCTGATTTTTTTTCTTCTGTTGTGGGCATGTTCTTTCTTCCTCCCCTTTGCTCCTTCTCCTCTGGCTCCAGTTTTCTTCCCTAGTTGCTATTCTGTACATCCAAATATATTTTGCATATGGATGTACACAATTAAATTCTGTGCTGCTAGAGCCTTTTCATTCTGTGGTTACTAGTGTGGCCAGTGTAGATCGTCCTAATTATATACAACTAAGTACCAGCTTAGCTGAAGTCAGAAAGCTCGGTGCCTGTACTCTGGCCTTTTGTTTAGCTGCCTTTCCCTAGGCTGCTGCTAATCTATCCAGTGATGCAAAGGATGACACCCATTTCACATGAAGTGAGTTGCTCAGAATATCACACAGATAAGAATGGATGAGCTTGGATCTCCAGACTTCAAAATGACCATTTCAGTGTGAATGGTTTTAATGAGAAATTATTTTTTGATTAATTATATTTTATAAAATGAAAATTTTTTATACCTTATAATTTCAGGGGAAATCAGCTTTGTGGTCACATTTAATTCAGTTTCAGGACAGAGAAGAGAAGCAAGAGCACCTTGCAGAATCGCCAGGTGAGAGTTCATTGATTGTTTCTACAGAACTGGCAGCAGTAGAACATGTGAAGAATCAATACCATTTGGCTTTGTCTTTACCTCTCTCTCAGGCTGAAACTTACCCATCTTGCCAGTAGTGGGATAAAGTAGAAGAAGCAATATTACTTACTAGCTGTGAGACCAGGGGAAAGTCTCTTGACCTTTCTGATCTTCAGCTTCCTTATCCACAGGATAGAGAAAATAATATTAAGCTATGTAAAACTATGATGTTAAGATAACATGTGGAAACCCCTAATGAATTGTAAAGGATCATACAAGTATACCTTAACTCTCACCAGTGTTAAGGTGTACTATATACTGGATTTTTTTCTTAAAGAGGTTTTATAACCATCATTAATAATCTTTCACAGAAAAAAACATGTATGTATATATCTCAAAAGTCTTCAGGAGTCAGATTTCTTCAATTTATCGTAAGACATCACATGTTAGAAGTGTTAGTATACTTTTACTAATTAGAGTTACATAGAGTTTCTAGATGTGCTGCCTTCTATGTATTTTTCTTTATATAAAATAACTATCTATCTAGGGTTGCCTGAGTGGCTCAGTTGGTTAAGCAACTGCTTTTGGCACCTGGGATCGAGCCCCACCTCGGGCTCCCTGCTTGATGGGCAGCCTGCTTCTCCCTTTCCATAGCTTGTGCTCTCTTGATCGCTCACTCACTCTCTCAAGTATATAAAATCTTTAAAAAAATAAATAAAATAACCATCTAGTTCACAAAAAGCAGTAGTAATGATGGAAAGCTAATAAGAGATAAAATGTTTTATAGTGAATCAGCTATTTGGAAACCTTTTCTAAAATAATGGGTTATTTTAGATATTCAGAAATATTTAAATATTTTTTAAAATATTTTTAAAAACTCATAAGCCAACCACCAGCTTAAGTATTGCAAATATGATTGAAGCATACCCTATTTCCATTCCCCTCATTGCAATACTACCCTAAATATGGTATTTATTGTTGGAAACCTCGTTTTTAAATGTATTTGCTGAGACAACTAGGAATGTGAATTTGATACTAGATTATCCTGGATCTCCACTAAAGAGAATATCAAGGTCCTAAGATATAATTATATTTGTAAAGATTGAGATTAAGTTTAAAAGCTTTTTCTAGTATCCATCTCTTTGCCCCATTTTCTGTTGAAAAAAGTAAAAATGCATTGGTATATGCCCTATCTCTGTCATTTACTTACGTTTATAGAAAATTTAGCTGTTCGGATCATAAGACCGTAACCAAGGTAGCTTACCCTAATTAGAAAAAATAAATTCCTAGGAAGTAATAGCCATTTGTAGGATGAAATTTTGGAAAACTGAGCCTAGTTAAGGCAGAGAGATGGAAGCATTTGGCTCTTTTGCCAAATGAAGCATGCGAGAATGTCCCCACCTGTTAGAGTGAGCAGCTGCCAGGTGACACCAGCAGTTTCATGGCTTTGGCTGGTCAAGTGGTGGGTGGTTGAAGTAGCCACCAGAGACTCAGCTGTTTGCAGTGGCCTTTTATTGGTTAGTAGTAGGACCAGCAAAACTCTGAAGTCAAGGCTAAGAAATATCAAATGTGTTAGAGCCTCATGTAGTCACTATTTATGCTGCACTGTCAAGTGTTGATGAAAGGCTAGTGACAAAACAGTGAACACACACAAAGTATGAACACAGGCTAAATATTTTACTGGTCCTAAGTAGGATTAATGTAAGCCATGAAGCTTTTGGAATCAAATTTACTGTCTGTTAGGAACGGTGGGTTTTATTATAAATATTGCTGTAACACTTCTGATGATTCAGCCCACGAAGTTAGGATTTTAAAATATGACTGTGTGAAATATATATAAAAACACTAACTTGAAAATAAAATATTTCATTATCGAGAAGCAGTGTGTTCTAATTATATGGAAATTAGCAATTATTGACTTTTCTGCTTTTAAATCTGGGTGGATTTTTTTTCCAAAAAATACTCTTGTTTACCAACTGTTAAGCATCCTAATTAATGACAGTAAACAGTCTGTATTCTCATATTAAGGGGAGATCCTCTATGTACTTAGAAATTCACAGTAGGTTTGAACATACGGCTGTTAACTAACATTGAACCAGGATGAGACTCGATGATAGATCATTACTGTTACTTCAGAAGCAACACTAAACAGGAGTCAGAGACATTTTAAGGATTGTAGACAAAAGGAAAAAGTCTTTCTTAGCAAGAAGACCATAGCAGGGTAGATTATCTTAATTTTTTAAAATAGACTTTATCTAAATTTTATTTAACTTCAATTAAATCCACTAAATTTTAAGTGGATTTTTAAATCAGTTGGCAAGGAGTGGAGGAAGATGCAGGAGAGAGTGGAAATACTGCTTTTAAATGGTTATTCTGGGTCTAGCTCGAGAATTTTGAGATACTCTTCAGTTATCTTCATCAAGATTTTTCTTTTAAAGAGGTGCTTGTGTGGCTCAGTCAGTTAAGCATCTGCCATCAGCTCAGGTCTTGGTCCCAGGGTCCTGGGATAGAGTCTTGCTTTGGGCTCCCTCCTCAGCAGAGAATTTACTTCTCCCTCTCACTCTGCCCTTCCCCCTGTTTATAGGCTCAGGCACACACATGCGTGCACTATCTCTCGCTCGCTGTCTCTCTCCATCTCAAATCTTTAAAACATTTTTTCTGTTAGGGGCACCAGGCAGTTGGTAGAGAGTATGCAGCTCTTGATCTCAGGGTTGTGAGTTGAAGCCCCACATTGGGTATAGAACTCACTTTAAAAAAAAAGTTTTCTATTAATCACTTACTTGCCTGTAGACTCTAGATGATTCTATAAAAACAATATATACAGTCTCTGTGCTCTGCAAACTTACTGGCTGTGTAGCAGCTTTGATTCAGGCAGATACACAAAAGGAGTTTCTGCAGCTAAATATTAAGTCTACCAGTGTTTATGTTGAAGGAGAAAGTGGCCTATTATATTTGAGTGTGTTGAAATAAATAGTAATATATGCTTGCATTTAAGTGGTGTATAAATTTCTCTTCTGGAGTAGATTTCATGGAAACCTTCTCAGAGTTTAGATCTCTAGGTGAAATGTATGGCTTCACGCATTAAATACTTTCTGCTCACAGGCTTCTGAACTGTTCCCTCCAAAGTCACTAATAAACTACTGTATTCCTTTCCTGGCTGTCGTATTAAAGTACCACAAACTAGGTGAAATTTATTGTTTCACAGTTCTGGAGGCTAGAAATCCAAAATAAAGGTGTCAGCAGGGGTGGTTTCTTCTGAGGGTTGTGAAGAAAAACCTGTCCTCCGCTCCCCCTCCTAGCTTCTGGTCATCTCAGAAATGTCTTGGGCTTTAAATAGCATATTCCACATGTCTTCACATCATCTTTTCTCTACTCATGTCTATCTTTGTACCCAAATTTCCCTTTTATAAGGTCACCAGTCACATTGGATTAAGGTACACCCTCATGACCTCATCTTGATCATCTACAAAGACCCTATTTCCAAATAAGGTCAAGTTTTACAGGTCCTGGGAGATAGAACTTCTACACCTTCTTGGGGGACATAATTCAAATCATAATAACTACTATTGCCTACTCCCCTGTCAGACTCCAGCTATTGGATTAGCAGATTATTCACAAATCTCTTTCTCTGGCCCTAGTTCCTATGCATCCATCCTAATGGCCCAGAGGGAACCTCAAATTCAGCACATCTGAAAACAAACTAATTGTCTCAGCACCTCTCCCTCTGTGCCTATTAGGCTTTCTCCCTTCTCTCCGTGTTATTTAATGGCATCAGACTCTTCTCTCAAGTTTAGAAGCTAGAAAGTCATTTATAATATTAACAGCCCACTGGACATGACATCAGAATACTCTGCCCCTTTTGATGAATGTATACAATTGAACAGGTTTCTTGACTTCTTTGAGCCTTACTTTCTTCATTGGCAACATTAAGATTAACAAATCCAAAGGAAAGTAATAACTCAATGAGATTATTTTTATTAAATCATTTTATATTTATACTTAATTTTTTTTTGACTCTTGAGTCTTGCTCACTTTCTAAATCAAGTCATGAAGTTCTGTGTCTTTTCCCACTACATATTTATCCTCTTTATTCTCCCTGGCTGGCACAGTCTTAGTTCATCCATAAACTGGCCTTTGAAATAACTTCTAGCTCATCTCCCTTATTTCTCTTATACCATCTTACTGTCACTGTTTGATAACTTAACTGAAAAGCACTCAGGAGCATAGCATTCTTTTCAGAATCCTCTCCCCCTTCCTAGGAATTCTACAGATTTCTCACTTGTCATTTGAGGCTCTGCCGCCATCTGGCCCTAAATAGTCTCATCTTCCTCCATGAATATTTGTTGACATATATGTGGTATGGAGCCTCCACCAGGCCCTGTGGGTATTCTAAAAAAAGGATGTGACTGAGCCTCAAGAGGAATATAGTTTAATAGCAGGAGAAAGGTTAAATTATGCTAAGTTTATATTAGATGTTTAGTTTCACAGGTCCTATTAGAGAGAATAACCTCTAACAGTGTACCTTGGAAAGAGAGAATATTCAGGAAAGATTTCACAGAGAGACAAAATTAAAGCTGAGTTTCGGGGATCCCTGGATGGCTCAGCGGTTTGGCCCCTGCCTTTGGCCTAGGGCGTGATCCTGGAGTCCCGGGACTGAGTCCCACATCGGGCTCCTTGCATGGAGCCTGCTTTTCCCTCTGCCTGTGTCTCTGCTTCTCTCTCTCTCTCTCTCTCTCTCTCTCTCTCTCTCTCATGAATAAATAAATAAAATCTTAAATAAATAAATAAAGCAAGCAAGCAAGTAAACTGAGTTTCATTTTATTTACTGAGAACTTACTTTGTGCCAGGCACTATTTTCTAAGTGCTTTTGCATCTATTTGAATAAGGCACGTATTAATTCTGATTCCAATTTGCAGATGAGAAAATAGACCATGAAGAGGTTAAACAGCTCACCAAAGTCAATGAGCTGCTAAGCTATCTGTAGAGTTTGAGAAAGCCATGTTCTTAACTACTGGCTAGAGTGCTCCCAATCTAAAATGCTAATAAATAGGCTATAAACAAGGAGAAAGAGGAGTGTTAAAGGGTGAGCTAAAGACCTTTAACAGGTTGCAGGAGACATGAAAAAAGTACATCACATGTTTAAGAGACATTGATCAGGGAAGAATGGGGGAAATAGGGTTCCAAAATAAAATTCCCAGGGCAGCTTGGGTGGCTCAGTGGTTTAGCACCACCTTCGGCCAGGGCATGATCCTGGAGACCTGGGATCAAGTCCCATGTCAGGCTCCCTGCATGGAGCCTGCTTCTCCCTCTGCCTGTGTCTTTTCCTCTCTCTTCTCTCTTTCTCATGAATAAATAAATAAAATCTTAAAAAAAAAAAAGAATTCCCAGAAAATGCTTAGGTCTATGAATGCTCTTATGGATGCTGCCACTCTTTCAATGTCAGGCTCCTCTTTTATCAATTATGTGTCTTGCCTGCTCTCTGCTGCTTCCAGAGGCATGACTCCTCGTTGTTTTGTCTCCCTCTAGCCAAGTTGCTGATTATGGTTTCACTTCCTTTCTCCTGCCTCATAATCTTTTTTTCTCTTTTCCCTCTTTCAACCTATTATCACTGATATGGCCCTCTTTCATGCCATCTAATCATCTGGACTGTAGAAGTGTTCTCTGAACTATTTCACTTTCTCCTCCAAACAGAGAGATGTACTTTCATTAACAACACACTTAAATAGTGAGAGTCTTGGGACACCTGGCTGGCTCAGCAGTTGAGCATCTGCCTTGGCCCAGGGCATGATCCTGGAGTCCCGGGATCGAGTCCTGCATCGGGCTCTCTGCAAGGAGCTTGCTTCTCCCTCGAGCTCCCTGCAAGGAACTTGCTTCTCCCTCTGGCTATATCTCTGCCTTTCTCTCTCTCTCTCTCTGTCTCTCATTAATAAAAATATTTTTTTTAAATGGTGAAATTCTCAGACAGGAAGATTAATCTAGCATATTCCCTGCAAATCTCTGGAACAGTTTCCTTGGTGCCTGTTACCTCCTAGGTATCAAGATAAAGCAGTGCTTTTAATGACCCATTGAAAACTCCATCTGAAACTGCCATGACAAATGGCCTATTTATCACCCACCTGGTGTGGAAGGCCCTCAAAAGAACTGCCTTTAGGTTGGCCTGGCCACAGTCTCTTTGTCCTAGCAGCCCTGTCCATGCTCATTCATACCTGCCAAGTATTAGCCTAGCCTTTTTCACCAGCTGCGGAAACGTGCAGATCCTAATACAACAGAATGTACAGTGCCAGCTTTAAACATACCTGTGTGTTTCCACACTATACCCTAGCCCCTCTAAAGTAGAGGGAGAAAGTGGGATCCTGGGTGGCTCAGCAGTTGAGCATCTGCATTTGGCTCAGGGTGTGACCCCGGGGTCCAGGATTGAGTCCTGCATCAGGCCCCTTGTGGGGAGCTTTGCTTCTCCCTCTTGATTCTCTCTCTGTGTCTCTCTTGAATAAATAAATAAAATCTTTAAAAAAAATAAAAACTGAGAAAATGTGGTTTCAATATACAGTAAAACCTACATCTTAAATTCTAATGCTATCAGTGTATTTGTTAAGTGTGATGTTGCAATTTAGTTTTCATTTACAGATAGGAAAATGGAGATAAAGTACAGAGATACAGAACTCCACAGCATCTCATTTAAAATGAGATTGAGCACTCCCAACTTTATACGTTAGCTAACAATTGATTGCTTAGTTATTGCTATATAAGGGAACAGTCTTCCCTTTTACAAATGTTAACCATTCAAGGTCCAAAGAAAATGACTCATGGACATTACACTTCTGAATGTCCACTTAGATTACTCACTTTGCATGATGTTTATTCTATACTTTGGATTCTGAACTTTGGAGTAGAAATTTACCAGGCTGGAGAGCCCAGACTCAGATTTTCCATTTTAAACACTCTTCCACAATATAAGGAAATTATATGATTGCTTTCTTGCAGTTACCCAGAGATTATTAGAATGAATAACTTTAGAAAATGACTGGTCCTCATGGCCAAAATTTGCACACCATGGCCAAAATTTGCACACATTGCATTATTTGCTAAATGGGCTTTTATGATTCATTTTAAATTTCCAAATGCAGCCCCTGATTAAGTAGAAAGAAAATAGCTGTTTTACTGTATTAATAAAGTAACAACATTCAGGGGGAAAAGTTTGAGCTTTTCTGTTGTCTTTAAAATTTGTTCTTTTCAAGGTAATTTTAAAGTATTTATTTATAGAATGTGAACCATGTAGATTTTTTTTGTCCTTGCTATTATTTTTCTAATACTTTGTTGATATTTTTTTTACATAGTTGCCCTTGGACCAGAAAGAAGAAAATCTGACTCAGGAGTTATGTTGCCAACACTCAGGGTCTCTCTTATCCAAGACATGAGGTATATATATATATATATATATATATATGCACTTGAAGATAATTGTCAAATATTTATGGCTTTCACTTACATTGCTCAATTAATTATGGCTATGTGTATTTTTTGCTTACATATTCTGAAGAAAACATTTTTTATAATCTTGCTTATTTTGTTTTTATACTATTATTTTTTCCCTGACATTAAATTCAAAGGGAAAATGGAACTGAGAAGAGTTTTAAAGTAGCTAAATTATTTTATAATTTCTTTTGTTCAGTTTTTTAAAACCTCCTTAAATATCTGCTGCCCACAGACACAGACCAAAAAAAAAAAACTGCAAATGATGACAGGTTACTTGGCAGAAAGATTGCTGTCAGGTAGGTTTAATTTTAAGCAAATGCAAATCTGAGAATTACCATTTGCAATTTTTGGTCTTAGAAATTGTTAGAAAGCATTGAGATATATAAAATAGATTTACTGAATGAGGAAGACAGGCTTTTTGTCTTTTAAATATTTTAGGTACAATACTTAGCTCTTAAAATATGTAGATTTAAAGTCAATGTTAAACTTCAGAACTCTTAACTTTCCTTTTATGGTTTATTGCTTTCGTAATATTAATTATCCAAGTTTATTTGGTTTGTAAGATACTTGCAACTGAAAAGCATAGCTTTTAAGAGTGGCAGCTTGGTATAGCTGCCTACAGAGGTTGCTGTTTCAGCTCTGCCATGCACTAACTATGGCCCCAGGCAATTACTTATACTCCCAGCTTTCTCACTTGTAAAATGGGATAATAATAGTCTTTCTTTCAAAATGTTGGTATAAAGATTTAGTGAGGGGCACCTGGGTGGCACAGTTGTTTAAGCGTCTGACTCTTCGTTTCAGCTCAGATCATGATCTCAGGGTCATGAGATTGAGCCCCATGTGGGGGCCCAGTGCAGAGTCTGCTGGTCCCTCTCCCCACCCCTCTCTTCCTCCCCCATCTGTGCATATGCACTCTCTCTCTCTTTTTCTTTCTCTCTCTTTCAAGTAAATAAATCTTTTGAAAAATAAAATGAGGTAATGTAAAGAACCTAAAATAGGGCAGCCCGGGTGGCTCAGTGGTTTAGCGCCGCCTTCAGCCCAGGACCTGATCCTGGAGACCTGGGATCGAGTCCCATGTCAGGCTCCTGCATGCAGCCTGTTTCTCTCTCTGCCTGTGTCTCTGCCTCTCTCTCTCTCCCTCTCTCTCTCTCTCTCTCTCTCTGTGTCTCTCATGAATAAATAAGTAAAAGGAACCCAAAATAGGCCTAGAAACAAATGTGTATTATTACTCAAGCACATGCATACATATATATTTATTTCTGCTTCTGACTTTATTTGTATGTGTATATATATTTTTACATACTACACAGACATTTATTTTTAAACCATGAATTCATAAGGATATTTAGGATTCCAATTCAATACTACAGGGATCTGTTCTCTTATTTGTAATTTCCCTCTCCAATCATAAAAAACTTGGCTTTTATTATCTATAATATATTTACTTATATGTGCAACCCTAGTATACCCATAAGAGTTTCAGAATTACTAACCTATATCCCTATAAGAAACAGAAGCAAGTTTACTAAATAGGCACAGTGTTTGTGTATTTCTATGCATATTGGTTACTAAATACCTTCCTCCAATGAAAATGGATAGAACTACAACCAAGAAAGTATGAATTTTATTGCATATATATTAAAAAAAAACAGAATATAAAGAGAGCCAAAAATGGAATACAGACTAACACAAATGAACCTAACTGTATTACAAATGAATAATATAACCACACTGAAGGGAGTGAAGGAAAAAAAGAATACTTCTAAATTCTAGAAACCAGTAGTTTTGCATTTTCACAAACACACACTCATGATACAGAACAGTTCCATCATCCCAAAATTCCCTTGTGCTACTTCTTTTGAGTCATTTCTTCTCCCCCAGTTTCCTGCCCCTGTCATTTCCTGATATATTTCCAAGCTCTTCCCACTGAGAGGGCCTAAAAGTAGTAATACCCCAAAATAGCAGTGAGCTCACCTAGCACCCACATAGTGGTTCCTAAATACTTTCCTTCAGTGAAAGAAATTGGAGATCCTTAGAGAAGTGATTTATTCCAGACCTGGGGAATGGAAAATACAGGATGAAGCTAGTGAATCTTTAGTGTCAAAAAAAGTCAGGAAGTACTCAGAAAGGGACATGATGCAATAAAGACACAAGAGCCGGCCTAAAAGAGCTCCCAGTGGCCAAAGCTGAAGCAGTTTGAATAACAGTAGTACTGGAGTATATCGCATAGAGTAAAATAAATATCCATGAGTCTGTTATAAAGAACTAAGTAAATAAATGGGAGTAACAGGATAGCTCTTTTGTACAGAAGCCTTCCAGTTAGTAAATGTAGAACAAAGAAAAATTTATGGATGAAGGTTTAAAGTGAAACCAGGACATTTGTGTGATCTCAAAATATTTCCCACAAGAATTTATTAATTATAAGGGAAAAAATAATCTTACAGTAGAGAAACCCAGCAGCAGACACCACCTTAACCAAGTGATCAGGGACACCTGCGTGGCTCAGCAGTTTGGCACCTGCCTTCGGCCCAGGGCATGATCCTGGAGTTCCGGGATTGAGTCCCACATTGGGCTCCCTACATAGAGTCTGCTTCTCCCTCTCTGCCTATGTCTCTGCCTGTGTGTGTGTGTGTGTGTGTGTGTGTGTGATGAATAAATAAAATCTTCAAAACAAAACAACAATAAAAAAAACCCAAGTGATCAAAGTTAACGTAATAAGACATGACACCGCATACTCCCAGATATGATACACCAAAAAGAATAAATAATTTCTGCAGTATTCTTGTCATAAATTCTAGTCATAACTTCAATCTAATCATGAGACTACATCAGAAATATCCAAACCAAGGGGCATTCTACAAAATAATTGACCAATACTCTTAAAAAATGTCAATGTCATGAAAGATGGGCAAAGACTAAGGAACTATCATGGACTGGAGAAGACTAAAATGACAAGCAAATGCAATATGGGATCCTGGATTGGATTTTGGAACAGAAAAGGACATAAGAGGGAAAGCTGGTGAATTAGTCTGTAGTTCAGCTAATAGTATTGTACAAACATTCGTATCCTAGTTTGGTTATGTACAATGTTAACATTAGGGGAAGCTGGGAATACAGGAACACTCTATACTTCTTTTACAATATTTTTGTGAGGCTAATTATTTAAAAATAAAACATATACTGTGTTTAATGTGTGTTTTTAAACCAGGTCTGATAAAAAAGGAAATGTATAGGAACTGTTAAACAGACAGGCATAGATAGCTTATTGTACCTCAAGGGTACAATTCTTGGTACACTGCTGCTCACCTGTTCCCACTGAATGTTTGATCAATGAACTGTCACCTCTCTAGTCTAAGCCCAATAATTTCTCACCTGGATTACATCACAGTTCCAATCTTTCATTGCTTGCCCTGCTGTAATTCACCCTCCCCATAGGTAATATGGTGATCTTAGAGAATAAAATCCAAATCCCTTGCTCTGTTTGGCAGAGCCTACTTGATCTCACAGCGTTATCTTCTACTCTTCTACTGCCTACCACTTCTTTGGTTCCTCCAGCATACCTTCCTTGCTTCCTGGCCTGGAGCCTTTTTCTACTTGTTCCCTTCACCTGATAGCTTTCCTCTAATACCTGCCCCAAAAGAATTTCCACAGGCCAAACCTCCTTCTTGGCATTTGCATCTTAGTTCTAATGTTGCTTCCTCCAGGAAGCCAGCCCAGAGCATCTGTTATGAAGCAGCTACCCAGTCTCTCTCTTTCACACCGCTATTTTAATCGCGCCCCCCCCCATAACAGTTGAGTTTGGTTTTTTGTTTTTTAAGATTTTTTATTTATTTATTCATGGGAAACACACAGAAAGAGAGAGAGAGGCAGAGATACAAGCAGAGGGAGACGCAGGCCCCATGAAGGGAGCCTGATGTGGGACTCGATCCCGGGACTCGAGGATCATGCGTTGGGCCGAAGGCAGGCACTAACCCACTGAGCCACCCAGGGATCCCCTGAGTTTGCTTTTCTGACATTATTTGTAAATTTCACGAGCAAGGGCAATTTATCAGACATGTAAACCTGTTGAATTGCTAGTGTTAATGGAGTCCAACACATAATTGGTGCTCCATTAATTGTTAAATGAAGGATTCGCCTATTTTAAGCTCCGTGAATGTTCATGACGGATGTGGGTGTGGGTGCACGCACACACGTGCATGTGCACTCGCGCATGCACTTATCTAACATTTTTGCATATATCTTTATATCTTTAGCTGATTCAACTGGCCAAATTGCTGTTAAATTATTTTGGTTACAGTTTCAAAGCTTTAGAAAGGTGGTTGATTGCTGAGAAACATTTTACTAACCAATTAAAATTTTAGAATATAGAAGAAGTCATATTGCTTCTTAGCTTATTTTTACGGATATGAAGCTCAGGCCCAGGCAGGTTAAGTCTAAGACCATATTGCCAATTTATAGCAGAAATGGAACTAGAACTAAGATTGCCTGAACATAGCTCAGATCTCCTTCTAACTAGATGTAAAAATTGATGTTCTGTGGAACTTAACACTTAAGGGTTACTTTGGCTTTCAGTTTTCAGTCTTTGTCTTATAAAAAAATCTGAAGACCCCTGAGTATCCTCAAGTGGTGTTTTGACCAAATGTTAGATGTTTTTAATAAAACTTGATTGGTTAGCAGGGTACCTGGCTGGCTCACTCAGTAGAACATTCAACTCTTGATCTTGGGTCCTGACTTTGAGCCCCATGTTGGGCATAGAGTTTACTTTAAAAAGAAAAAAATTGTTTGATTTGCTTTCAAAAAGTGTTTAGTAAGGTGAAAGACATTGCCAAGAAAAGACTTCTCATGGTTTTTCCTTAACGTTTTATCAAAAACAATTTTAACCATCCAACAAAGAACAGATTTTATAATGAACACAGTATACCCACCACTTAGATTCTACCATC